TGTTAAGAATGGAGTGCCTATTGCTCACTTCAGATTAGCAATTTACTTTTAATTAGTCTGCTTAGGGAAATGTAGCCTTAGTGATGTTGAGATGATGTTGAAGGCACATACGTGTCTGCTGAGTAATTACGTGTACTTTCCACCAGCTGCTCATGCTTCATTTCTTGTGTTATGTAACAGGGAGCACTGCTATGTTTTGAGGATTAGTTCCCTGTTGATACTGAAGCTTCCAGTCTTTAGATGTAGTTAAAGCAACCCAATGTAACCCAGAAATTAACTTCAGTATTTCCCTGTCATATGGTTGAAAAGACTTGGGCATCTGCTTGATAATTTGTCGTGTTTGTTCCCATCGATGTGAGTTTCATTTTAGCTTTTAAATATTTTAATTAATGTTTAGAGAGCTCTTAGACATAACTGAGTAAATTTGAACAGAACATATATTTGCCATTGTCTGGAAGGGGCTGGATGCTGAGTTTCAAGATGTTTCATTCTAAATCAATTATATTAAGCAGCATGGAAGGTGTTAACTACAGCAGCAGTATTGTAGGTAGAAGTGAAATTGTGTAGTCCTTTCACTTCTCTTCAGGTGCTCCTCTGTAGGCAGTAGGAGAAATGTAGGGAGAAGACTCAGTGCATTACTTCAACAGCTTTTGCTTTTGGAGCATCACGTTCCAGTCCAAGCAGCTACGAAGCCTTGGAATGAGGCACGAAGATCTCTGCCAACGTGCAGAAGTGGAATCAAACCAATGCTGCAACTTCTGAAGCAGTGGGTTTAAAAATAAGCTGTGCAAAACCAAAAATGCAAACACCTTTCTGCACTAAATAAATCTATGTGATGTCAGTTCAGTTTTATTTCTGCACTTAACTTCTATCGCAAATCATAGCAACACACATCCCAAAGCCCGGTGAGTTTTTGTTGTCAGAGTAACAAGCTGCAGACCCACGAGGTGTATTTTATCTGTGGTACCTCTCCTGGGTTCACTGCTTGCCAGTCCAAAGATGTCTGAAAGAGACCGGCCAGCTTCCATTTATTATAGCCATACACTGACGAATGTATTTGATGTGATTTCTTTGGCTCAGTTGTTGCTGCGAGTGTTGTTCACCCTCTGAAAGCACCTAGTCCACATTTCCTGAGGTTCCTGAAAATACACATGCAATAAAAACAGAGACAGATTCTTTTAGTGTCACTCAAGCCTGATGTTTTGTTTAATGTCCTTTCTTTTACCTTTACTGTGAGGTACATTTTCTTCGTATCTCAGAATTAGTGTTTCCTTCAAGTGCTTCAGCTGGAGCATGAACAAATGTGCTCAGCTATGCTGTGACCAGGCAGCAGGACTCTCCATGAGTATTTTTTCATTCATTTGAACCCACGGTACGTTTGCTGTTACCTTTTTTGGTGGTGCCGTGCATGGAGTAGTTTGTGTGTCACTCCTATATTGTCAGAATCCCATAGTTTTTCTCCACTGGCCTGTTATCTTTTTTTAAGTAGCAGTTCTTTGTTTCTGCGAATGCCCTTGAGGTAAAAAAGTGCTTTGTGCTTCTCTGTGGGTTGCTGCAACAGAAAAAGAAAAGCCACTGAAGCATATAGTACTATCCTTCTTTCACAGGAGTTGCTGTTACGTTGACATACTGTAGCTTAGGACTTGGGATGCAACGACACCAATGCAGCCATATGATCTTTAACTACTGCCAGGAAATTTCCATAAGCAAATGCCCTCAAAGCCATCTGTTGTGCCCTGGCCACAGTCACGATTGCTTGGAGGCAAGGAAATGAGGGCTGTGCAGTCAAGAATTGCAGTTGTTGTCTTGGAACAGCTCTTTAATCAGAGGATGCTCTTTCACCTTGGGTGTAGTGTTAACAGATGGAAAGGGACACTCCTGGTCTCCCACCACCCACCCTTCTCCTGGAGCCTTGCTTCCAGCTCTGCAGCATGTCCACAGTTGTGGAGGTCCACGTGAGAGTTTGGCTCCCAAATAGGTTGGAAAACTGGTGCTATTTTTCTCTGAGATTGGTTTGCTGAAGCAGCACATGCTGCAGCTTTCCAGTTGCTGGACCTGATGACACAAGTGGCAGAAGCACATGGAGTGGTGGGAAGAGGTCAGACTGCTACTTTTGGCAGCAGCTGGCCAATAATATAAAAGAGATGTAACGTGAAACTGCATCTAGCTAGAAATAGAAGGCAGGAAGTGATAGACAGTGCATCACTCACAGCAGAATGTATGAAATGCAGAGATGATAATCCACAAACTGGGACAGACTGAGCAGATCTGGTAGGCAAAGCTTAGCAGAAAGGAAACAGAGACCCAGAGGCTGTTCTCCTAAAATTTGCTCTTGAAGTTTGTAGCAAAAATGAACTAGAACCTTCCCAGGGATGCGTGCGTCCTGCAACATAGTCTGAAGTCTGAATGTGATGGCCTGGAGTTTGATAGACTTTTGCAGATTTTCTGTTTTGGTGTTCATATTTTTAGACTGGGGTTGCACTTTGGAGTTGTTGAAAAGGCATGGGGTTGTTCTGAGCTCCAGAGGCATTGCAGTATTTTGGCAGTGCTTTGGAAGCTGTGCAAGAGGTGATTGCATTGGAGGTATTTCAGCCTGCTGGGAAGGCTGGTGGCTTTCCTGAGCTGTCGCCACACTATTTCAGAAAATGGAACTCTGTTTCTTAAAGCTGGTTTGACTTTATGAGATGCTTTTTCGTCTTGCTATGGTTTCACGTCCAGTCTCATCACAAAAGGATTTCATTATGGTAAGCCCCATTGCAATGCATGTTGGAGCATTTTGTAGCTGCAGGATTGTGGAGGCAGGCAGAGGCTGCTGGAGGCAGGTGAGGCAAAGCCAGGTCTGCAAGGGCTGGATGCCCAGGGCCATACTTGGTGAGGGTATGGGCATCTCTGGGATGCAGGCTGCACAGCCTCTTGGGCAATGTGTGCCCATGTGTCATCATGCTTAAAAGATAGGGGAAAGATTTTCTTACTGTAGTTTGTGCCCATTGACTCTTGTCCTGCTGCTGGGAAGGGGCTGGCTTTGTCTTCTGCTTGTCCCCCTGCCGGGTGTCTGCACGTGGATAGGATTCCCCTGAGCTCTCCCTGCTCATGATTGAAACAAGCTCCAGCTTGTTCCAGCCTCCTACATATGCACACAGATAGGTATATGAGATGCCATGTAAATACATACACACCTGCACACACAGGTAAATCATGCAGGTCCTTTGGGGTGGTGGCAAGTTCTTGATGGCCAAAAGCCTAGCAGTGCTGCTGGGGCTATTGCCCTTCAGGGCAGTGCTTCAGCCACTTCACCACACTGCAGTCTGTTTGCTTGAACTTCTGCTATCCCAAACTCACAGTAAGTGAGTGCTGGACTTCCCTCGGGAGCCCTGCTCTGCTGCTCACCCCCTACAAGTGCCCTCACCCTCTCCCAGCTGAGAGCCCATCAGCAGCCAGCTGGGGAGGAGTGCAGAGCATTATTTCTTCTTAGCCAGAGGTTAGTTCCAGGTAAGAAAGATGCTGGCCATTAATAAATATGGCTCGAATGTTGGACAGAGGTTTTATTTTGTCTTCAGGAGTGCTAGCTTGTGTAAGAGCCTTCTAAGAATGACTCATTCTAATAGCTGAGCGGAAAGAACAGTTTTTAGATACCATTTGCAGAATTTATTATTTACTAAGTAACATGGTTTATCCCTTCAAGCAGATTTTTAAGGGCTTTCTAGGAGGCTAAATCCAGCTCTGTTCCATGAGGGCAGAGGCATTTCTGGAATAATGTTTCATCATAAGTCACGAGATAGGCTTTTTTCCTTATGTTTCCAGGCCACTTCTGCTTTTCTGCCCTCGTCTCAGGGCAGCTTGGGGTTCAGCTGGTTGGTTTTGGGGCAGCAGTCCATGTTGTACTGCCATCCTCCAGGTGTGCAGCTTCATCAGATAAACAGCACATGGCAGGGAGGAGCTGGTCACTGTGGCTGATGTTGGTACCCAGTGGCAGCTCAGCCTATGCTAGTAATGCCTTGCACTGGGTAGTTTTCTAAGGTAACCTTGTTGCACTTTTAGCAGGACTGCAGTCCACATACGGAATTGTGCATATGTACATGTGTGTGTCATAAATGCACAAACCAAAGTTTTCCAAATGATTTCTTGGCCAAATGCAGGCAGTTTTCCCTGCAGAAGCATTGTGTATTATGTAAGATAATAACATCCTTGATCCCAAGCAGAGTCTCAGTTTCCAAAAGGCAGTGGAGAAGGAGGAACCGTGGCTTGCTGGAGTCAGAAGTCAGTCTTTCTGGCTTTGCAAAACCACTCCAGTCGCTGTGTTCCTGAACCATTTGCTTGCATTTTCAAACCAAACAAGGTTTGCATGTCAGACATGCAAATCTGAGCCCAGGAGGGTACGGATTGGCAAAGCTATAAGCAAGGGACAGCAGGATTTTGTGACAGAGTGATGTGTGTTCTGGTGGTAAATGTAGGGTTACCAAGCCTGGGAGCCTAAGGATGGCTGTACATGAAGGTTACTGTGAAAGTGGGGTTTTTCTGTGTTTCAGAACTCGTGCTTGTTTTGTAGTCAGTGATTTGCATTGGCTTGTTATGGTCATATCTGGGAGGAAAGTCAGGCTTGCAGAGCATTTGCTGCTGTTTTTTCCTCATGGTTGTGTTAGACATTAAGCTGCTTCTTTCTGTTTGTACTGTGAGGAATTCTCAGTGTGGCTTGTGCTCACCTTTTCAAAGTGTGCGTTTAATTGAAATGTAAAGGAGATTCTTGTGTTACCTAACAAGCAGTTTCAAGCACAAATCATGATTTATTCTTTGCCTTTTCAAATGTGTAGAATAAGTTGTTATAAATTGTGTTCCCACTGTCACTGTAATCTGTTGACTATAGAGCTGGGCTGTGGAAAAGGGGGGTTTAATACAGAGGGATAAATTGGGAGGGAGCTGCTCAAATCTCACCTTGTAATTTAAGTTTGTACGTATTCAACATAGAAAAAATAATTTCCTGTGTTCTGTTTTTTGTTTTTTAGCCTTCTGTTGAGTCTTCAAGTCCAGGTAAGAATTTCTGACGTTTCCTAAACTTGTGGGGGAAGAGGATATCTTCAAAAATTCTCCCTTGGGGTCTTTTCCAGTTGTAACCTAAGGCTGTGGTCTGATGAGTTCAGAGTGAGCATGGAGTCAATGGCACTGTGTGCTCCCAGTTGTGAGATAACACCATTGCTGTCTGGTCTTATACACAAAAGCAGCAAGGAAAGCAGTATTTTTTTCCCTCTAGGCTTGCTAAGAATGAGGAGCTTCATGCCTTCTGCTTTTAAAACTGGTTATTTCCTGATATTTTGGTGTCCCAGAGTTCCTGGTATTTAATAATCAGCTGAAACATAAACTATGAATCTATTTTTTATAGCTCGATACTGCTCTAGTTGGTGATGTTTATTTCAGAGGATTTGGGCATCCTTCTGGTGGAAAAGCTTTCCAGTACTGACTTTAGCTGGGCTGCTGTTGTTTGTGGAGCTCTCACTTCATTGAAGAAGCCATCCACCACTTGCACTCCTCCAAGTACAAAGCAGAGCTAGCCCTAGCCCTCCCTCTTGTGCCCATAGAGGTGGTACCATCTTTGAGCTTTGCAAAATGAAATATAAGTTCATGGAGACGATGGTAAAATGTGAGCAGGGCTAGAATGAGAACTCGGGTATTGCTGGGTTACACCGAATGCTGCCTCTGCCAAACCCTTCCTTCATTCATTTTTCACTGTCACAAAACGTAACCACATTGTTCTGCATGGAACTGGCAAGAAAAGCACATAGGGAAAAATAGCTAAGAGTTTGGCATCAGAAATAGAATCCATGTAATTGTGAAGCTTACTTGAGGTTTACATTTTGGAAGAGTCGTCAGATTGTCTTTGTAGCTGTAAAAAGGAAAGCTTGCAAGGTATCGAGGAAACAACTGTCCCGACTTTATGTTTGGAGTGTGACTGCTCCCAGTAGAACTCCTGGTGCAAACAGATTGGTGATGAGTAGGAAATGAATCTTTAAACCCAGCACGTTTTACAGATGTTTAAGTAGGGACCTGATGTGCAGTGCTGTCGCAGGGCAGGAGGTGGCTCAGTGCTCTCCCCAGTCTCTTCCACCAGCACCCACAGGATGGCTTCTGCTGCCCTCTGAGCAGTGCTGCTGGCTTTCCCTTGATGAACGGGTGAGGGATGTTGAAGATATTTTAATTTCTCAGTTTGAGTGTTCAAGAATCACCAAAATAAAAACATATTAAAAAAAACCCCTAAGCTCTAACTAAAAAAAATTCTTTAAAATGTTTTCCATCAGGAGGTTCAGCAACATCTGATGACCATGAATTTGATCCATCAGCTGATATGCTGGTGCATGACTTTGATGATGAACGGACATTAGAAGAGGAGGAAATGATGGAAGGAGAAAGAAACTTCAATTCTGAAATAGAGGATCTTAACAGGGTAGGTAGCATTAAGTAGTCATAAAACATAACTACAGCCCACAGTCTTAAGCAAAACACGTGCAGGTTTTTTTCCCTAATATTTGGGATTAAAACAAACCAAGCCACCCCTAAAACACTAATAGGCAAATAACATAGATAGGGAAAAGGGGCTGAGCTAAATATGCAGTTCCCAAAAGTTGGGAGGGGGGACCTGCTACATAAATACTGAATAATGCATAACGCTGGGCTTGTTTAGTTTCTTCTTGTATAAATGTGCTGGGATGTGATTTGCCTTTTAGAGCTAATAGGAGGCAAAGTGTGCTCCGCCCCAACTTGTGTCTCCCAGTCGTGCTGTTTGCTAGAACATTTGCACTTGATTAGTGCATGTAGATTTTGATTTGAAAAGGTCTGGTAATTTTACATTCCTTTTGCTGTTCTGTACGGCGTTCGTTCACTTAACCCTGCAGTGGGGAAGATAGGAGTGCCTTCCTTTTTTAAGGTGGAGAAAACAGAGACGTAGATAAATGATTTGCTCAGTGCAAAAAGTTGTCAGCAGGGCTCGGCGTGGAACTCCCACATGCTGATAGTAGTGATAAACTCATTGTAAAATATGTGTCTTAAGAAATAATTGCCTGTGAGATTTATTTGGCGTTTTGAGGTTATGCTGTCACTTACGTACTGCTTTAAATTGCTTCCTAGCCAGGAATCGTGTTCTTAAACTACAATCCAGGTTCATTATCAATGCAAAGTAATGTAGATACTGTCTGTGACCTCCCTGGCTGAAAAGGCTGCTGGAATAGATCATTAATGGTTTTTAAATGCCTGTTTGATGTACAAATCCTGCTTAGCATAAGTGATCTTACCAGTGTGGCATTAAATTGAGTACGTTTATTCTGCATTTTGGGTGTAAATGATGATTTCTTCCCGGTGATTCTACGGTTGAAGTTAAATGGTAAAGATAAATAAATTGCATGCAAATTAAATGTTTAGATTAAGTGGGAAATGGAGCTCCAGGAGTGTCATATTTTTAAGTTCAAAATGTGTGTTTTTCCTCATAACTTGTGAGGAGCCCCCATCTGGCTGTGTAATCCTACCACCACATCACACTGCTTTGTTTGTAAGTGTACGTCAGCAGTCAGAGCATTCCCTCACGTCCTGGCTGTGGGCACTGCAGGCTTTTGGTTTCTGCACATGTCTGAGACAGGACAGCAGCTGCTGTGGTAACTGAGCTCCTGTGCTCTGTCCTCTGGAGGACTCCATCCCAGGCCGACGCAGGAGCATCAGCCATTTCTGGGGTGTTGAAAGTAGAGCTTTTACTGCCTTTCAGATGTTCTCACTGCAGCAGGATTTCTGCTTGTGGGATGGCAGGCCGCGCATCAAAGCTTGCTTCTCTCCTTTCTTGTCCTTCTCTTTTCATTCTTCAGTCACACCTTTTCTTAAGCACGGATGATAGACAGCCTAAGTCTCAACACTACTGGCAAGACAAGTGCTATCCTGTCTTTTCCTTTCCCCAGACACTTACATGTATTACTTCAGATTTCCCCAGGCTGTGAATGTGCCAGGTTTCCTTGCTCAGCTCCTTCAGAGGTGAGATGGCAGTCCAGTTGCACAGAGGCACCTCACTGGTTTAACTCCTGAGTGTCAGAAAAACGACACATTCCTTGGAGGAAGAGAATCTTTTCTACTCGCTGTTTGAAGCTCCGTAGTCCTGCTTTGTCCCCAGGAACAACCACAGCAGATCTGTCCAGAGCCCTGGCTGCACTGCCCTGGCTGCAGTACGTGGCCAGACCCCAGCATGCTGCAGGGAGGCACTTTTCTCCTCTCCCCCTGGATCCCACTTCTCAGGAGGGCTTCTGGTTTTCTTTAGTGTTGTACGGCAGCATCGTGGTCTCTTTAAATGAGAGACCCATATGTGGAGGCACACAGTGTTTCTCCAGATACTCTCCCAGCCTCTGGCAGGGTACAGCTCAGGCACGTAGGGAACAGATGCTGTCTCCCTGTAATGCCTCTGTTTTTTTCCCCTTCCTTGGATTTGTCCATTGGATTTCTAACCTCTGTAAACTTTGTGTCCATGAGGCATGTGGCAGTGTTGCACAGTTCATTTGGTGTGAGGTGTGTTTGGTTTTTATCAGGTGTGTTTTGTGTTTCAGTGGTCACCCCTAAGCTCCTCATTTAGAAGAGTGTCGTTTCTCTTGCTCCTCTCTGTGCTCCTCCTTATGAAGCAGTTCTCTGTTACACCACTCCTCCTCACCTACCTCTACTCCAGATACATGACTTATAACCCATTTCTTGTTACTAAACATCTCCCACGTGAGAAATTTCTGTGCCATTGATCATCCATGTTACTTTTTTTTACCTCTGTTTCTGCAGTGTCCCAAAACAACCCAGAACTCACAACTGTGGTACCAAAAGTGTTGCATCTTTGGGAGTTGCTGACACTCAGAAGTTTTTGAAATGTCAAGGGCTGTGTCAGGGCTCTACCTAGGAAAAAGGTTCTAAATACACCATGAATTTCCTCTAACATGGAGTAACCCACCAGCTGCGTAATTCACACCTATCTACAACCCATAGTAAAGTTCTTTCTAGTTCTGGATCTGTACTTTCAAACAAGAGGATGATCTCATGAAAGTTTTGCTCTCAAAAATGCACTGGAGGACGTAAGTTTGGGTTGCTGTGACAGCTGTGCTGTAAGGTTTTAATGATGGACGCAGTCCTGTCGTGTTGTCCACATGTGTAAAACAGGAATTCCTCACTTCTGAGAGTTCACTGCATAAAATACAAGAAATTAAGAGGGAGAATGAGGAGATCAGGTGCCACATGCTCCACATCTGTATATATAGCTGAACTGAAGACTGGGCCAATAAGTGGCTGAAAGGCTTTGTACTTCAGAGTAACACAAAATGCATAGACAAGGAGTGTAGGTAAGCCCTGTGTGACTGCTGGTTTTACACGGCAGAACTAACTTCACTTGCCTTTTGTAAAAGGTGCTGATGGGGAGGTGAATTAAGCTCTTAGGAGAGGAGTTCAGTGGCAGAAGTGTGGGGCCAGCAGACAGCTAACAATCTGATCATCAGCCAGGGCTTGCATTACATCCTGAGAAGTGGCGTTTGGAGCAGCTGTACGCACCTCTGAATGATGAACGAGGGATTTGATCTCGTGAGAGAGGTGATTTTAAAATGCTTTTAGAACATCCTCTAGGGATGCCATATCCTGCCCCTAAAGGAAGGATCCTGAGGTATTGAAAGTACTGAAGAAACTCATTTGTGGACCTGGCAATTAATAATTTGTGTTAATAAAATGAATGCAATCGATAACAGTTTGGGAGCCACTAAACTTGAGATCTGTCTGTATCCTTTGAAGTATCTCTTCAGAACAGGCCAGAATTCTACATGTAAAGATTTTTAAATGACTGCATATTTCAGTAGATTTTCTTCCCAAGTGTGTTTGCTTTTGTAGACAACAACATTAAACACTTTTTGATTTTAAATGAGGAAGTATGTATGTATCTGTGAGCGGTGCTGTCTTCACCTGGATGTCAGCTGATCCTGAAGATAAAGTCATCCATTACCCCCATCCAGCCCCTCAATTTCATTTTGTATTTCTCCTCTGGGGAGAGATAAAGAGATGGTGAGGTGCATTTTTTTGTTATTTTGTGTAAGGTGAGGCTGTAGGGCTGCATGGCGCTGTTCCTATGGAGCAATTCCCCAGACAAAGGTTTAACTCCATGCTCAAGCCCTGCACTGCAAGTTCTGCTGACTCACATTTTCTCCGTTTTTTCTTTTTTAATAAATAAGCACAAAATGCTGCACATTTTTTCAGTAGTTTTTAGGCAGCAAATGCAATATTTATATCAGTTTATACTCCAGTTTGCTCTGTATATGCACTGAAAAGTTTGTGATGTGTAGACCACAGGTCATACTTGACAGCCAGAATAATGCATTCAAATAATCTTGGAGGTGTTCAAGACCAGGTTGGATGGAGCCCTGGGCAGCATGGTCTAATAGCAGATCTGGAGGTTGGTGGCCCTGCCTGTGGCAGGGGATCAGAACTCAGTGATCCTTGGGTTCCCTTCCAACCCAAGCCATGCAATGATTCTGTGCATCTCTGCCACGCTCTGTCCCAAGGTCATCTTAGAGCTGGGCACAGAGCAGGCTGCAGGCTGCATGATTGCCAGAGCACACTGTTGCATGGCTGGTTGGACATCAGGCTCCTCCTAGGAGTAGTTGCAAGCTTCATCTGATGCTGAAATGGGTGACACCCATATTTCAGTGATAAATGCGTGCCTTGTCATTTCATAGGCATGGATTCATCCCAGGGTTGTAGCTATATAACCAGGTGTAACTGCCACGTGGCAGTGCTTGTGTCAGATAGTAAGCAAACACCAAGAAGGGCAATGGGGTGTATGGCCCCCTGATACCTTTTTAATGAACTTTGTGGCCCTGCTGAGAGTTTGTCATGCAAGGGTTCCATGTAAGCTTATAAAGGATTAGGAAATAAAATATTTTGTTGCCTAAAAGGCCACACGTTTTTCCTAGGAGCCAAAACTTCTGACTGTCTCTTCGCTTTAGAGAAGCTCTTCCTAGTATACCTGGTCATCAGTTATCTGTTTTTGTCGTGTTGTGTTTAAAAAGCACACCTTTAGGCTGTAGAGCAGATGTGGGATGTGAAGTACTTTGGCTAAACCTCCAACTTTGTTTGGGTGTTTATCAGGAAAGCGATATGCCAATCCAGGAGCTGCTTAGCCTTTATGGCTATGATGGCACCATTCCACTCCAAGAAGATGATGATGAGGAAGATGAGGAAGAGGAAGAGGAGGAGGGAGAAGATGATGATGATGTTGATAACGACGACAACAGTGGCTGCAGTGCTGAAAACAAAGTAAGTGTTCGTGCCAGCTTACAACTGATTTTCATACAGCTGTTCTGAAGTAGACAAGCATTCAAAGCACCAGATCGCAGTAAATCATCACACAGCTGATTTCGGATGCTCTGTATACTGAAGTCTAGCAGTTATTTTTAATTACCCTTTTATATTTCTCTTAATTACTCTGCATTTAATCTGTATCATGCCAAACTCCTGCTGAGGCAAATCAGAGTGCGTGTGTACATACGGCATCATGTCAGAAGGGATTATGCTGTCCTTCAGAAAGACTGTCTGGTTTAAAACCTGGAATTTTAAATGCCTGAAGGTTCCTTTGTGGCTGTGGCTGAACGCTTGTTTCAAGATGAGAGCTGATCTACTGAAACTGAGCAGTGCAGTGTGGAGTTGCAGCAGCCTCCAGTGCTCACAGATGCATCTTTAAATTCAGGTCTTCGAACTTGAGCTTTTTAAGTTATATTTTTTTCAGCCCGGCGGTAATTAGCCTGCTTGCATTTAAATTGTTAATTAAATCTAATGCTTCAAATACCTTCAACGAATGTGAAGTTTTGAACTTAGAGTCTTTAGAATCCTGTCCTGTGTGCTCTTATAACAAATTATCTGATTATAGGAGGGTCTTTTCTACTTATGTATGTCGTATGTATTTGTGCTAATCCCATCTTGTCATGCGTACAGCTGTAGCTTCTCCATTACTGGTGCTGCTCAGAGTTGCTTCCTGATACCATTAAAATATGGAAACCTTTGTACTGTCAGTAACAAAAAAAAAGCCCATAGGCATTAATGGAAGTCGAATTACCTAAGCTGGATTTAAAACGAATACATTTTCTTCTTTGACATTTTACCCATTTTAGAATGTCTGGAATGAGACAGAATGGAATGACCTCTCTGCTCGATTCCAAAAGTGCCGTAAAGTATTGCTGTTTGCATAGGCTGAATGGTTCAAAAAGAAGAACATTACATAGTTGTGTTGCATTAGGAGGGCTTCAAGAAGCTAGAGATGGGGAGAAACTTACATAACAGGAATATCCAAAATTAAAGTAAGACACAAAAAGCGTTTGATTTTGTGGTGCGCAGCAGCGTTCACAAAGTCCCACTTCCTTCTTGTGCCTTTGCTTCTTAATTGCTTCCTGACAAAACTGCCATCTTCTCTGCTCTCCCGGCCTCCTTCAACCAGTCCTGTTACTGGTTGGTTGAAGGTACTGCCTGTCTTCTCTCCAAAGTGCAGGGCTTTCCTGTGTCTGTCATTGCTGAGATGATAGCAGTGAGGGGAGGGATGTCTGTCCCGCTGCAGGGGGACGCTTTGCAGTATGCTGCAGAAGAGATGTTCGTGCAGCAGCACACCAGGTGGGGTAAGCAGAGCCCTGCCAGCAGCTCGGCCTGATTGCAGCCCTGTGCCTGCATTTGAACGGCAAGTCTGTGGTGAGTTGCTCAGCCCCAGCTTAGGTAGGGATGGAACAAAGGTGATAAGGAGGATTGGGCACAAAGAGCACTGGCCAGCCTGTCGGGGTGTTGTGCCCTGGGCTGCAAGAATGAGTGCTCTAGAATTACTCACATGCTTTTAGCAGAGAGGCAGTAAAATACATCTGTGGGGGTGGAATCGTTTTATAAATCATTCAGGCTTTCTCTGTGAGGGCACATCTTTCTACAGCTTATTTAGCTATACTGCACTTAGCTGTTTTCTATTTTTAAGCTGCTTTAAGCTGCACATGTGATTACACTGTGATGCTGTTAGAGGTACACGTAAACATGTGTCGTGCCCTGTGCCTGTGTCAGAGCTAGCAAGTAGGAGTGCTTACAACAGCCATAAAACCCAGACACGCTCTGGAAAACACACACCATAGAAATCTAATGCATTTTTTAACCATTATCATCTTGTTCTTCACTAAGTGTAATAATTGCCATTGTTGTTGTGACTTCTTTTCTAATAAAGAAACCGGTTCTTGTTTTCTGACCTTTTGCTGGCTGGATGTACAAACACACAGCGTGTCGAGCTGACCGATTCCTGTTGGGTAGAACCACACTGTTGACATTTATTTTTGTGGAACGTACAGTTTCTGTTTGACTGAGAAAAGTATCTTTGTACTGCTCTTTGTGCTGAAAAATTGCAAGGAAGGGCTTTGAAGACTGAAGTAAAATATAAAGTTAAATGAAATTAGATGAAAACCACAAGGATTTGCTCGACTCATTGTAGAGCTAGACATGGTATTCAGCTGTGCTTCAGGTTTCTGATCTGTGCGTTAGAATTCGAGTGCTAAATCTGATCTGCTTAAAATCGTGGTCAATAAAGAACACCATGTGCTTACGTCTTTGTTGTGGCTCGGTGTGGACAGACTACACCCTGTACAACAGCCACTGGAAGTCAGATAGACAATGGCTATTTGGTTTGGTATGTTGACAGTTTTGGAAAAAATATTGCCCAAATAGTGTTTCTCACACACAAGCTATAGCTCACCTCCTCTTTGTTTCGTTATATTTCAGGAGGAGACCATAAAGGATTCATCAGGTCAGGAAGATGAGACACAGTCATCGAATGATGACCCAGCACCCTCAGTTGCTTCTCAAGATCCACAGGAGTTGATTCGCCCCCGTCGATGTAAATATTTCGATACAAGTACGTACAGCTTGGCACTAAGCACAGCTACCTCAAAATGATTGGTTCTGTGCTTACAGACTGCTCAGTTAGTTAAGCAGTATTCTGTTTCTGAGGTATGCAGATACCTGTGGACGTGTGTTTGTTCTCCTAGCACTGGTTTTGATTACCGTTACACTCAGTGGGCAACCAGAAATTTATGTTGTTAGCGGAACATTACAGCTTCTCCCCAGATAAGGTGTTCTCTGTGGGAGCAGATGCTCTCCTCTTAAAGGATTAATTTGTGGAAAAATGTTTTGAAAAAGCATCTCCAACAGCACAACTTTTGTTCCATGACACTCACATACTGGCTTGTACAGGTGTGCCCTTCAGGAAGAGATCTTTACGTGCGGAATCCAGGTGCAGTAAACTGCTTCAGAGACTGACTTGTACAGTGAGGAATGTCATCTAACAAATACTCCTCTATGGAATCCATAGCCTGTGTGCTGCTAAGCTGTGTGATGGCAGCATTCAGCAGGGAATCAGCAGCACCTGCCTGTTCTGTGTGGTATTACCCTCATGTTGGAGCTCTGGCTGCCTGCTCTTGCTCAGGACTGCATTATTTTAATCCAAAACCATCAAGGAACCTCAGCATGCAGCCATGCAGAGGGTTGCAAATATCTCAAATGAGCTCTTATTTTTAGACTTTAGGATGACACACATGTATTGCACTAGGTTTGGAGTTTTTACAGTGTTCAGCTATGTATAAAATATAGTTTGATGTGTAAATCATTTCAGTGCTGATGTTCTCACTTGCTGTACATGAACCAGTATTGTGGATGCTTTTGCTTCACTGTGAATGGCACCTACCCCATATCCTAAAATTGTTGTCAGCCCTTATCCTAAGCAACCTGATTGAAGCACTGCTTTACATCTCTGAGCAGAACATCCTACTAAATCCCAGTGAAGCTGACAGAAACACGCTTGTGAATTTCTTGTGTGTTGTGCTGTAGTTTACCTTAAATTCAGTGGCAGCTGCTGTAAGGGAGAGAGTATGGCAGCAACAAAGCGGGGAGCTCATCGAAAACGGGGTTGGAATCCACGTGTGGGTGCTGAAGGTGCATGCAAGAATACTTTCAGGATGTAACTGCGTGTAGTAAAGGTGGATCATCTCAACTGCTTTGCAGCTGAGTGAGGGAAAACGGACTGTTATTGGGAAGGACTGAAACTGATGGATGTATTCACTTGTGCCTTCACTTTTCGTAGCCTGCTGTGTGTAGCTGTTCTAAACACCTACATCGGGTGGGTCGTTGTTAAGGCAGTCACTGACGGAGCATTTAGCAGTGCCAGTGCCTGCCTTCCATGCTTCTGTGGCGTGAGATAAGGTGGCAGGGAGGCAGAGCGGGGCTGCAGCATTGCCTGTGTCCACCCCTCACCACAGCACTGGCTGCAGCCCCAGCACTGCCCCAGCTTGGCTGTGTGTACATGTTGGCTCATTTCTCCTAGACAGCGAAATAGAAGAGGAGTCCGAAGAAGATGAAGATTATATTCCCTCAGAAGACTGGAAAAAGGTAAATATTAAGGTCGGTTATCAAACTCGATGTTCTGTGAATAACGCACTGAGCTGCTACCTAGTAACTTTGATCTATAGATCTCATAACTCCTCTCCTTTTTTTCTCAACAAATGTGAGTGTTTTTTAATAATAATGTTAAAGACCTCCCCAGAAAGTGAAAAATGCATTTCTCTGTAATGCTTATTTACAGATTTGTTTTAGATTTTGAGCAATGAAAGCTTTTAGAGACAAAGGATCATACAGACATATTTTCACTTGCTGACAACAAACTGCAAGGCTGTGGTTGCTTAACTTTTTGTGTCTGCTATTTCAAAACAGGAAATCATGGTGGGCTCTATGTTTCAAGCTGAAATTCCAGCTGGCATATGCAGATACAAAGAGAATGAAAAAGGTGAGGCTCAACACTTGCTACTGTCACTGTGTGTCAGCTCATTTTCTAGTGGGAAAAAATAACAGGTATGTTGGACTCACATCACATGTCTTGTGGAATGCATCAGCTCTGTCAAATGGAGAACAGAACCATCATCTCAAACTGTAGCTGATCGTATACTTCAACACCAGAGCTTGAGACTTGGAAGGGGAAAAGAAAGGTGACACTGCTGTCCTATTGAGTCCTTGCATTCTAACCAAGCCTTTCGTATCAGTTATGTTAACCTCTTTGCCTGGTTCATTCTGTTTATGTGAAACGGATAGTAAAGAAATTGTGCTGCTGGATTAACCTGTTAAAGAGGTGAAATGTCACCAGCAGCTTTGTTTTCACATCTTACAGCTCTTCAATCAGCATTAAGAACTTCTCGTTCTACTATTTGAGTGTTTTCCAGGAGCTCTTTTCCTCTTACAAGCAGAGCCTTTGGCAGCATGCTGTCAATACAATGAAGCAAGGAAAGACAGACACACATAAACCCAGCCTGAGCTTAAAAGCAGGAATTCCCCTGCTTGCTGAACCCATTACCAAGAGTTTGTTCACACTGCAGGTTTGAGACTGCAGCTTTTATATGTTAGTTTTAAACTAAACAGCAGAAAACTCAGTGCAGCCTCAGAACCGGAGAACATACACAAGTGGTGACAGTTGTCTTGCTCCAGGTGCCAGGTTGCTGTAGCTGTGCTGCAACCTGGTCCAGCCAGAAAATGGAAACGTGGTCACCCCTGGTCTTGGCCAAGAACAGGTCAGCACTGGGGCTGACCCAGCTCTGGGCTTGGTAGCCAGAGAAACTGAAAAGAATGTAGTTTAAAACCAAGTGAGAGGTCAGGAGCTTCCATGAACATGGGAAAACAGTATGTTAGGAAATACAAATACATTAAACACAACTTTTTAGCTGTGAGGAAGTTGCTCCTTGCGTGCTTTCCTGCTACTGTCTAAAAATAGAGTTGGGGTTACGTATTTACCTGGGATGTGACAAATTATGCTTTATGGCTTGGTCTCCTGCTCTCTCTCATGTTTACTCAGCTCTGAATGGCTTCTGGCCTCCAGCAATAAAAAAGAAGAGCTATTTTATGCATTGCACTAACCTACATAAACCAGTTTCTCATAGCCTCGCACACGGCTCTGTGCAGGATGCAGAACCTGTGTCACGGGCTGAAACCATTGAGGAGGAAAGTTAAATTTTCACCAGTGTTCTGGGGCTGTTGTAGTTCCGTGTACCAGCAGGATTTGTTATCTGTTGCCACTTCTTTTTCTGTGCTTTAAATCTTTTTGCCAGGACTCCAGCCAGAATATGAATGTAACTTAGCTAAAGAGAGTGACCTGGGACTGTGTGTTGAGGGATTTCATGCACATATCCCATCTTCTTCCTCATTCTTTAAGAAGGCTAGTCCTCTTGGATCTCCCTCCATAGACAAATGCACAGAAGTTCTAGCACTTAAGATGAACCACCTTGCTGACTGCTCTGACATGCTCCTCTGAGGAAGGATGAGCTGAGTGTGCTGCATGAAGCTGATGGCTCTGGGCTGTGCCTGGAGGACTAGCAGCTGCTATTAGAGGATTTTGACCAACAGAATTCAAAGATGTGCTTTCAGGAGGCTTTGTTTCTCTTCTGAAATAGTTTACCTTGCTGCCATCAGCAAAACTGCGCTGCTTTAATAGAAGAAGTGCAGGTGGGGAGTTGTGGGCTCTGCTTCTGCTGCCTTGTGATTAAGTAGTGTCTGTCAGGAGGACATGCAGGTGGGATTGGTGGAGTTTCATGCATGAGTCCTAGAATCCAGAGCAGAGATTGCAAGGCAGTGTAAGGTGTGGTGTGTCACTCACAGAATCGTGTTTGTGAGCTGGTCTTTCACCTGCCCTGAGGTATGGATTGATGCTGATGCTCTGAGGTTCCATCAGGGATGGTTTTACAGGAGAGAATAAGCTTCCATGTTGCTCTTTCAGCTTGCTTCTCTTTTTCCTCTGCTTACTTCAGTGTATGAGAATGACGACCAGCTGTTGTGGAATCCTGATGTCTTACCAGAAGACAAAGTGATTGAGTTCCTAAACGAGGCATCACGGCGCACAGGAGATGAGAAGGGCCTGGATGCCATTCCTGAGGGATCACACATTAAGGACAATGAGCAGGTAAATAACAACAGGTGGCATTTTTAGTTTAGTATTACAGAACGAATTATCCCTGTATTTTATTTTAATCCCAACAACTAAAATTGGCCTTGAAACAGCTTGTTTGTTCCTTTTGGAAATACAAATACAATGGTTTTTTCCTCTCAGCACATTTTCAACCTCTAACTTTGACTTAACCTTGCTTCAGGCATCAGCACCGAGTTTCATGTGTAAGTAATTGTGCATAAGTGAGTTCTTTCAATTACAGGGGTTTTTTTAAGCTTTTTGAATTTTCTTTAAAAAAAAATAAATTAAAAAAAATGCATGCAATGGCTAAAAATGTTGAAATATTTCACTTGAGGATATGCTTGGTTGTGTAGCTAAGAGCTGTGGGGATTTAACCAGGAAATAGCCACTGTGCTGCCTTAGATTGTAATACGGTCCTTCAGAAAGTTTATTCTTCACCTTTTTTGAAGTAAGCCTTAATGATTTATGAAGGATGTTTCTGTGGCACAGCGTGAAATCAGTGTTATTTAGCATATGAAATGTATGCCTTTCTGTCCTTGCAGGCGTTGTATGAACTGGTGAAGTGCAATTTTGATACTGAGGAATCTTTACGAAGGCTGAGGTTTAATGTGAAGGCAGCCAGAGGTGAGCACACAAACTGCTCGAGCTCCTACAGTGTTTCCTCTCCTTTTGCTGTGTGGGTGCTGCACACACAGCTGTTCTGTTACAGTGTGACTGCGTGCAAGCATGATGCATCAGTGTTCATTCAAGTGCAGCCTTCAGTGAATCTGTTCTCTGAGAGAAGGAAATTAGTAGCTGTAGTATAAGCAAGCAAGCAAATTAGCTGTTAATTAAGCTTGATATTTATATTTGTCACTTTAATAACAAGTTAAAATTTAAAATGACTTCTTAGCAACTGCACTGTGCGTTTCTTCAGCATTCTATTCTTTGTTCTTATAGCTCTGCAGTCATTAAAGTCAATGGAACAAACATGAATAAAATCACATAATTCATAGTTCTAGCTAAAGGAGAGCAGGTGTCTACACCTTTTACAAAGGTATGCCATTAAGAAGACCTCAGTTCTCGTTGGAGACTGAAGCATTTGCAGTTTTATTATTGGTCTTTGTATTCATTACAGCAACAGCTTCTTCCACGTAGCAGGGACTGTCCCAGGTCTGTAGGCAGTGCACTCCTGTGTGCTGAGCTCCCTGCAGTCTGGGTGCTGTGCTGGCAGCAGCTGTCTGAGCCCTCCTTGCCCTCCCTGCTCCCTGTCCCCAGCTGGCAGAGCTGCTGGCTGGTGATGGCCCTGCCAACGCGCCGCTTCAGCCAGCCAGCATTTCCCTGCTCCCAACTGGAAGGGAGAATCTTCCTTTCTGTAGTGGTAAGCCAGATTTCTGGAAGTGGTTCTCGTTAGTTTGCAGATGGTGTAATAGACTTGGATGCCACATGTGCTTTCTGTCACTTAAGTTTTCTGTTAGTGACCGTATGCTTTTGTGTTACGTGTGTTCATTATTGCATTTCCTTGCTTTAGAAGAATTATCTGTTTGGACAGAAGAAGAATGTAGGAACTTTGAACAAGGGCTGAAAGTCTATGGCAAGGATTTTCATGTCATTCAGGCAAATAAGGTATGTGCTGATTTTAAATGTCGTTCTTGCTTTTTCTTTTGGCACGTGGAGTCATCAGAATGCTCACAGCACCTCTTTCCTAGGTACGAACAAGATCAGTTGGTGAGTGCGTAGCATTTTATTACATGTGGAAGAAATCAGAGCGCTATGATTTCTTTGCACAACAGACGAGATTTGGAAAGAAGAAATACAACCTTCATCCCGGCGTAACGTAAGATGTGCATCATTCTCCTGTGCCTTTAGTGCTGGGTCTAAACTGCTCTTTTGTACTGCTCTGACCCTGACGTGGAGGGACAGACGGGTGACGCCACAGTCCCAGGTTGCACTGGGAAAAAAGCCAAAGAAAAGCATACCAGTGTGTATCATGTAATTCCCAAAATACATTTGTTGGGAGTTAGGCCAGCAGTTTGCATTGAACAGCTCTTTCATGGAATGTGTTTTTTTGCTTCACTGTTTCACAAATGTAACATTTCTGCAAATAGGAATCATAGAATGGCCTGGGTTGCAAAGGAGCACAACGCTCATCAGTTCCAACCCCTGCTGTGTGCAGGTCGCCAACCAGCAGCCCAGGCTGCCCAGAGCCACATCCAGCCTGGCCTTGAATGCCTGCAGGGATGGGGCAGCCACATTCTCATCAGGGAATGTGTTGTTTTGCTTGAAATACTTGTTTTGCACTAAGGCATTAGTCACAAATTTCGGATGGGATTTTTGAAGTATATTGTTTGGCCAAAACCATATCCTGTGGTAGGGCTTGTTTCACTATGCATTCCCCCAGCTTTCTGACAGTTATCTCTTCTTCCTGCTTATTGTTTCTGTGAACATTGTAGAGCTACGTGCTGGACCACCAAAGTGAAACTGCAGTACATTCTCTGATGATTCCGTTAGGGAACGGTGCCTTCCTTCCTTCCTTGTCGCTCACACACCCAACACAGTGAACTTTTTGCACATGCTGAACTTGCTTTCTCCCTTCTTAGAGACTACATGGACCGCCTCCTCGATGAAAGTGAAAGCGCGGCCTCCAGCAGAGCTCCGTCCCCTCCGCCCACAGCCTCCAACAGCAGCACCAGCCAGTCTGAGCGAGAGGACAGCACCACCAGCAGCAGCAACCAGAACGGTGAGTGCCCACAGCAGAGCTGCAGAGCTCAGCATATTGGGATAAGTGATCGTTGCTGCCCTCCTGGGGAGGAGTTCCACGCAGGAGATGGAAGCGCAGTGCTTGTCCCACGAACACAGTTCGGTGTAGGGCAGCAAAGGGAGGTAGGAGTGGGAAAAGTGTCAGGGCATCATCCTTGTCAGGGAGAAGAACCTTAAAAGTGAAGGTCAGGCGTTCTGAAAGACCCGGGGTAAAAGCAGTTGCAAGGAAGGAGGTCACTGTTGAACTGGGCTGGAAGACTGGAAGCTCCTGTACCTGCATAGCTGGGGACAGTGCAGCTGTAGTGGGGGTGGCTTCTGGGACAAGGCTTTGGCTGCTGCTGCTTCTAAGGGCAGAGGACACAAACCCAGTATTGACCTTTGTGTTCTGTCGGCTTCTGCTTTATTGTTCTGCACACTTATTCTGCTGCTGCTGCTCCTGTTCTTTTTTCTTATGGTGTCTCTGCCACAGGGCTGTCTGCTAATGGGCCGGGAGAGATTCCAAGTAAGGATGAAGCAAAACCAGAAGGACTGCACGTCAACGGACCTACTGGAGGCAAGAAAACCCCTCACCCAGATCTGGATACAAATGGGTATGAAACTGAAAGTCTTTCCCTTGACCCCAAAGTTGCTCATTCAACTTCAAGAAGTGAAAATGATTTTGAAGAAAAAAATGAAAGACCTCTAAAAAGAAGAAGAATTAATAGCAGTGGTAAAGAGAGCCCTGGTTCTTCAGAGTTCTTCCAAGAAGCAAACTCCCATGGGAAGCTGGAAGAGCTGGAAACATTGGATGACTGAATAATAGGAGCAGATTTTATTCCTTGGAGTAAATCTCTGGTGTCTAGAATTTTCAGGGTTGATGGGTTACCTTGCAGAATCCAGTTCCATAAAACACTGCTGAGATTTTTCTAATAGCTTCTGGTCAGCTCCGCAGATCTGCTTCTTGGGTTGTGGCAGTGCTGAAAGGCAGCAGCAGAATATTCTGTTCCTGAGGTGCCAGCTGCAGCTCTGGGAACACGGAGGCACTTAGGAGCATTTGAGCAACAAATCAGTGATTTTCTGTAAAAATGCTTCCAGCCAGCAGGAAATTGGGTGTAAGTTGATGTGAGCATTGCACAGGTGAACAAAGCAGGGGCTGGTTTCAATTTCTGATCGTTGGGGGAAGTTAAAAACGAATCCCAAATCCTGAGACGTGCACAGAGTGGGCACAGAGACTCCTAGCAGAGCAGCACGTGTCACCTGGCTGGTAAGGAACCCGCATGAATCCTGAAAGTTACGAGCACAACTATTTTTATATATAGAAGTTTTAAAAGGTAAATAAACCAGGTCAGGTTTGTCTATGTAAAATTGTTGACATCAATGATGTCTTTCCATATTCTTATCTGGGCTAAAGAAATACGTTCTGTATTTTTCCAGATTTCTTTGTAGCCTTTGAAAGATTTTTACAGTACTTCACGTCTTGATCAAACTGTCCTTTCTTAAAACAAAAGCTTGTATAATTTTCTTAGCTTGTACAGTTGGTAAACTTTTATGAGAGAATTGATATCCTGAGTCTGATGTCAGCTTCGTTTTATTTTGCTGAAATCTTTTCTAAGAAAAAGAAAAAAAAAAAACAACCACAAAAAAAGAAAGAAGCCAAACCAAACCAACTGACCTAGAAAACAAAAAGATGCTTCTCAGGCACCAGGGTGGTGCTGTCTTCTCTAAAGCAGTAAAGTCCCAAACATCCAGAACGGTTACAAGTCATTTGATTTCAAAAACATCCTTGTTTTGTGACAGCCATGCGAAGGAGCTGTGAGTTCTTTTGCTTTCCTTCTGCATTTCCCCTTTTCCTTTGAGCTCGGCGCAATCCCGCGTCAGCCCCACGCTGCCGTTTCCACGCCGTGCTCGCTGAGCTCAGCTGTGAGGCTGTCACCTGGTGTCACAGGCCGTGGGGAGGCGGTGCATGGCTCAGAGGGAGCAGCACTGCCACGTGTGATTCTGCAGCCGTGTGTGTGTGCATGGTGTGCAGCACCATCACCTGCTGAGGGAGGGAAGTGGCACAGAGCTCTGGCGCCAGCAGCTCTGTCACTGCGCGTGGCACGGGGCGCTGCTCACCTTCCCACCGACCCCAGCTTAAGGTTGCTGATGTAGGGTTACATCCGTGACACAGAGACATCCTTAACATCAGTGTTTGTTTCTCTTAAAGCAAAGGAACACAAACCTCGAGTTTTGGTTGGTTTGTTTCTAAGCTGCAGCTACACACCCTGCCGTGTTAAAAATAGGAAAAAGTGTTTGCATCGTTCATAATCTCGCCTCCTCCTGCACTTGTTTTCACTAAAACTATTTGTAAGTTTATGAGGCTTCACAATATCAGCTTTAAACGTGCGGCCCGAGGGTTGGAAAAGCACCTGCACAGGGCTGTGCTCCTCAGCCACGGGCACTCAGACTGCGTGCGGAGGGAGGAGCTGCAGCTCTGGGTGCAGCCCAGCTCTGCCAACGCAAGGCAGCGCAGCGCTGTGAGCTGCTGTGCTGTGGAGCAGCACCCACCTGGCATTGGGCAGCAGCTGCGGGGGGCACACAGGTGGTTCCTGCACATCCCACAGCAGGGCTGGGCTTCCAAAGAGGTTGCTGTCGGTTTGGCAATCTCTTCCAGTACCAGAAACCCAAAGCGTCGCAGCCTTCCCGTGGAGATGGGGCTTCAGGGGGCTGCAGACTCATCTTTCCTCCTCCAGCCCTGTTTTCTAGTTTATGGTTATGCATTTTTGTTTGCGAGTTGGAAATGCTTCCAAAAATTTATAGGAAAGTTTATAAGTAAGTTTATAAGTACGTAAATTGTCTCAGGCTTGTGTGTGAAATACAGCACCGTGTATATTTTCAGGACTGTTGCTTTGTTTTTTCCTTAATTTTTCTGGTGATAATAGAAGAGACATTCCATAATCAATAAGTACGTAATGCTCAGCTAGACTTTAAGAATATTTAATTATAATTTGCGTTCTGTTCATGCTGGTGTTTTATATGCAATACTTGTTCACGTCCTTCAACCTGCAGCCACTGTCACTCGATAAGTCATTGCACTACTAAGGCTATTTAAATTAATTCTAGACATTTAGCGACCGGTTTTATTTCGAAAGCATTCAGTACAAGTGGAGCCCAGAAGGTGTTGAACTCGATTCCAAGCTGCATGGGACAGAGCACAGATCACAGCCATGCAAGTCGGGGCTCCACGCAGCCTGAGCTGCAGCCACTCACACTGAAGGAGCTCCGTGGGGCGCCTGGAGGGCGGCAGCGGTGTCACAAAGGACACAGCCACGACTTCACCGTTAGTTTTTATACGTTCTGTCACACATAGTAATTTTGCACTGTTAGTTCTCCCCCTCGTCTTAACCCTGTTCCCTGTCTGCAATTCTGACAAAGCTTATTAAAATATTTTTGTAAACATACTGTGTGCATCCCCAGTTCCTGCGCGGTGCCATCAGAGCTGGGGCCCAGTGATGGGCAGAGCCTTCCTGCAACACATGGGACATGACTTAGCACAGAACCACAGCATGGCCTGGGTTGCAGAGGAGCACAACGCTCATCAGTCCCAACCCCCTGCTGTGTGCAGGTCACCAACCAGCAGCCCAGGCTGCCAGAGCCACATCCAGCCTGGCCTTGGATGCCTGCAGGGATGGGGCATCCACAGCCTCCTTGGGCAGCCTGTGCCAGTGCCTCACCACCCTCTGGCTGAAAAACTTCCTCCTCATATCCAACCCAAACCTCCCCTGTCTCACTTTAAAGCCATTCTCCTTGTCCCATCACCATCCACCCTCACAAACAGCCGTTCCCCCTCCTGTTTATCCACTCCCTTCAAGCACTGCAAGGCCACAACGAGGTCCCCACCTTCCCTTCCCTCTGCCAAACAAGCCCAGTTCCCTCAACCTCTCTCCACAGAGGTGCTCCAGCTCTCTCCAGCTCTGCTGCTGGGTAGAAGCCTGCACAGCCCCAAAGCACACACGAGGCAGGAGGACGTTCATTGCTTTATTGGAAGCCAGTACAAAAATACTGAGGCACATTAAATCCTTTTATTTCTCCCCCTATTACTGACCTATGCAGCCCGCCGTACATTCAAATAAGGTCATCTTTTAATCACTAAATTGCTCATTTTGTAAATAGATTCTGTATAGAAAAACATTTTAGTAGATTAATAGCATAGAAAATACTGTGGTAGGAACTCTGCTTTCCCAGTGTATGCAATTCCATCCGGACCTGGCACCCAAGTGTGCACATTTACAAACAAAATAAGCTTTTAAAAAACATTTCAACTGTTTGGACAAGAAATCTAACCAGTAGATTCGACAATAAACAAGAAGAGCTCTCACCAGAATAAACATCCTGACTGCAAATGCCTCAGCACAGCAACGTTACAAACGCAGGTGGAGGACGGGGACTTGCAGGGACTGAGGATCCGTCCCAGCGCTCAGTTCTGCCCAGAGCTGCGTCCTCATCACCCTCCTGAGAGCAAAGCCCCGCAGTGCTGCAAAGCCTGAGCCTTCAGCCATGGCAGGGCTCTGCTCTGGAGCTGCTGTTATCCTGTCCCAGCCAGGGGACAGCAGGGCAGCACACGTGCCAGCAGCACGGCCAGGTTTCGTGCAGCTGCACGCAGCCCCAGAGAGGAGGTGCTGGGAAGCACGCGGCTGCTTTAACGCCGCTCACGTCTGTTCCAGAAACAAAGCAAGGTGTACAAAAACCTCACGTGGCTCTACTAAATTCTTCTCTTCCAAAAATTGTAAAGAAGTTTTGTTTAAAAAACAAAACAAAACCGAAAGACAGTCAAAGGAGAGACCTGGAAAGAAGTGCTATGTAAGTCAGCCCCCGCTGTTCAGTGCATTAAAACCCTGTTCTGTTAAAGCAAAGACAACAGCCTGCAGCAGCACGTGGTGACAGCCAGCACTGGGGGCACCAACCTCTGCCCCAGGAGCACAGCCAGCCTGCAGGACTGGCACAGCCACCACCTCTGTGCTGTACAACTCCCAGGTGCCCCGGAGTCCACTGCAGTTCAATCCCTTGCACCACCGACACGAGCCAAGCCTCGGTGTCATTTAACAGCCAGGAATCCCTCACAGTCAATCAGACTTAATCAGATTAATGCTTACGTGTGCAGTCATTCACCTTTCCCATAATTTTTTGAAGGCAGCAATCTGGATTGTGCAAATCAAAGGCCATCACCACCACTAGGCAGCAGACACTCCAACTCCTCTCTGCTCTGCCAGCGCTGGGCTCAGCAGAGCGCACGTTCAGCAGCTCAAATCCGTGCTCACACCGAGCTTTTGCCCTTAATATCCATCTTGCTGCCCACCTCAGCCTGCTTGCTGAGCTGCTCCTCTGTGAAGGTGATGTAGGAATACACCAGGCTTCCTGCAATACTGCAAAACAGCCACAACATGTGTCGGGGGGGGATTTGTTTAACGCAACCCCAAGTGCACTCCTGAGCTGCTGCAGGGCGTGCTTCCTCACCCTGCTGCAGGAAAGGAGGCACAGGGGATGTTCCCCAGTACAGAAACACCCCAGGGCAGAAAGACTCCTCCAAAAGCTGCACCCAGCTGTTCCTCCTGCCCAGCACAGCCCAAAAAGACTAAAGAATCATGAAATAGTTTGGGCTGGAAGGGACCTTTGAGATCATTTAGTTCCAACCCCTGCTATAGGCTCTAGCCCAGGCTGCTCACAGCTCCATCCAGCCTGGCCTTTAACACCTTCAGGAACGGGGCATCCACAGCCTCTCTGAGCAGCCTGTTCCATCTCACCACCCCACAGTAAAGAATTTCTTCCTACTATCTAGTCTACACCGACCCTTTTCCAGTTTAAAATCTCCATGTCCTTACCTGATATTTAGACCAATGAAGTTCAACCATGTAAAAATATAGTCTCCTCCAAAAAACATCCCAATATAGGTTATTAAAATATTCTGCAAAGAAACAAGAATGCGAGTTTTCACACGGCAACCACGCACTGCAGTTCTTAAAGCAGCGCAGGGAAGACTGAAATACACAAATGCTGGTAACCCTGGATTACAGGAGGCCAATTTAGAGCCTCTGGGAGACACAGCTTCATGGGGGCCTGGATTCTGAGCAGCCCCAGGCGCCCATAGGGGTGGCAGGGCTGCAGACCCCTGCTTGCAGGGCCAGCTCTGCAGCTGGGCAGCTCACACAGGGCAGAAAACCCAGCATAACACACAGGAGCAGCACAGAGCAGGGAATCCTGTGGGATGATACTGGAGGAAGCTCAGCCTCACAGCCAAACGCTCTCAGGGCAGCAGCCACGTGGCGTTGGAAAGCACAGCGCCGCTGGGCACAGCCCCAGCACTCTGCCAGCCCACGCACCAGCGGCTGCTTAATGCGTGCGACGAGCAATAATTACTGCACTAATTACTGCAACGCTCGCCCCGAGAGCGGAACCGCCGCTTACCTTAATGCAGCCAACTATTGTAGTTGTAAGAGCAGAATTGTACTGAGTGCAAAGAACTGTGGAGTACATCAAAATAAACCTGCGGGAAGAATGGCTGCGGTCAGACCCCGGGATGCACTGCACTCAGCTCCCAGCCCTCACCCCAACCCACACCCAATCACTCCCATCCACCACAGGAACAACGTTCATCTACCATAGGACCGGTGCTGCTGAAAGACAGAGGGACTAGAGAGTCCTCTTCCCAACCCAGAATGACCCAGACCCCCAGAAGGCAGTACTGGAGGGATGGAGGTGCCCCCCCTACAGCCCCATCGTTCTTCCAGCCCCACAGCCTTACCCCATCACGCAGGATAGGGTGAACTGCACAATGAACAGCATGTCTGCCCAGCCCTGGTACTCCATTGCCTGCAAGAAATAGAGGCTCAGAACACAGCAGCAAGACAAGAGCCAAACCCAACACAGGCATACAGAGCACAGCAGCCCTCATCCCGCTGGATGTGAGCTCAAGCAGAGTTAACACAAGTGTTGTGGGATGCTCAGTAATGCATCATCTCTCCCCTTCACCCCAGGCTGACCTGCCCAGCTCTCCCTGCAGCACTCCAAAAGCTACAAGGAACAGCTCACAGAGGGGTCTGCAATGTGCACAGCCCCCACTGCTGGGCCAGAGCCTGCAGCAAGGCCCAGCACCACATGGCACAGATGGGTGCCCTCCATCACTTGCTGGACGCTGGGGCCAGAGGAGAGCAAACCAGCTACAGCAGCAGAGGGATTGCAGCAGCAGTGGGGAGGTGTGGGCGTGCTGGGGGGGCTGGCAGGAGCCTGGTGCTGTTCAAGAAGTACAGAGCCCTCACGCAGGGAAGAGCAGCCTCAGCACCAGGATGCGGTGGGGGCACAGGGATCCGAGGCTGTAGGGTCACCTCCTTGGGGATCCCCAACCTGACCTGGGTAAGAGACTGGGCACAGCTCTGAGGGCCCAGCTTGGAGACAGAGGTGCCTCCAGGCTCAGCCACGCCAAGATTTGGAGATGAAGGCAGAAGCCTTCCCTTCACAGCAGGGCTGAAAGCAGCCCCTACAAAGGGATGGAGTGATCACATCCCCTAAGCAATACAGTGCCCTGTGACAGCATGCAGTGCCTTGTCCCCAGCTTGGCCCTGCTGCACTCTACCTCCTCCCATGCTCCACAGGGGCTTTACCCACTTCGGGGGCTGCCTCCACCAGGCAGGCTTTGTTTTTAATCCTTGTGGCTGCTGAGATTTCTTAATTACCACCCGCAGCACAGAATAAAGCAGCTCACAGCTGTCAGCACGCACATTTCTCCTCTCCTCAGGGCAGAAAGCCGTAACGCTGCTGCTGCTGAAGGCCTGCAGCCCATCTCCACGTGCAGCAGGAAGCTGTACAGGCACCCAGCAGCCCCAAGCACCTCCACAGCCCAGCTGCAGCGTGCATGGCTGCACGGTCCCCAACAGCGTGGCTTTGTGAGCCCGGCGCCAGGAGCACAGCCGGGGAAAAGAAGTTTATTCAGGGAGGGGAAAAAAAAAAGCAGTAAGAGGAGATTCTGTGCAGCTGAACAGAGGCTGCACAGTGCCTCTATCCATAAAGAAGTGCTTTATCCCGAGCTACAGCCCCACTCAGCGCTCCACGCTAACTGTTAGCTTAGTGGCTGGCACTGAGGCTCAGCCCCGTGGCAATGAGCTCCTGATGAGGAGCAATTAAGCCCCCCCAGGTGGAACCAGACAATAATTAGGGCAGGAGTAACACAACAGCATGGGCATGCAGGGCTGCAGCAGAGCAAACCATGCAGGGGCAACAGCACTGCTCCAAAGCAACCCAAGGTGTGCTCTGCTGCAGCGACCAATGTTTGCAGAAACCCATTTAGACTAATAACACTCAACTTCTTTGTTTTAAGTAATAGTTGGTTTCACTTATTGCTCTCACACTTCCCCATTCCTCCAGCATTACAAAAATGCCCAAAACGCAGCACATCTGTGCATTTCAAGCCAAGCATTGCAGTTACTTTCTACTGGGCAGTTTCCCCTCTCTACCCCAAAGCGTGGCCCCAAAGCCCTCTGTGCTGCCACGTGGCACTGTGTGCAGGTTGGGGAGAGGGAGCTACTCCACGGTTTCACATTTGGAGCACTTGCTGCTCTGTGCAAGAAGGCTGAGCTGCAGAGAAGTGCATTAGAGCAGTAACATGCTCCTCCAGATAAGGCTTCGTCACTACAGAGTGTGCTTTTGGGGCAGGGCTCCTACCTTCTGCGCATCTCCAGTGAAGTAGGCAATGACCAGGGTGGGAAGGATCATAAACAGTGCATTGTAGTAAAGCAGGCCGTATTTCCCCAGCTCCTGGAAATAGGAAACAGCTGTGTGTAAGCAGGCTCCAGGCAGGAACAAACCCTCATTCATGTCACCGCTGAGGGCTGGGAGCTGAATGGGGCTCCAGGAGACCAAGAATCAGAGCCAGACACCATTCTGTGATCTGCCAGGTCTGCCTGAGGGGTTCTGTGCGAGGCAGCGTGCTGCCCATGAGCCCCTCAATCTCCCTCCCAAAAGCAGAGCATCACAGTGAGGCTTCAAGGACCAACACGGCAGTCAGGGACTGGAAGAGCCAACAGCATCTGAACGAGGGACACAGTGGCACTGGGTGGGACTGTGGGCACAGCAGAGGTGACAAGGCCACGGTCTGCCACTGAGCAGCACAAGGAGGGGCAGCCTTACCTTGGAATCCAGCTTCTGCTTCACGTAGGCACCGTTTGCAGCTGTTAAGGCATCATTAATGAGGATAAAAATATATCCTTCCAGGTCGAACGCCAAGTCAGTGCTGGGGAGGGAAAACACAGTGAGAGCTCCCAGCCACGCCGAGCTCAGCGCTTAGGAGATTTATTCCAGCTCCTGTTTGTCGGTGAGCTGTCAGGAAAAGTTAATCATGCAGAGAGGGACTGGAGTCTGGAAAACATTCCTTCCTCCTGCAGAGCATGTCTGGAGGGGAAAAGGCCCCCGCTCACCCTCTGTGCCGGGACACATGGATGTGTGCGCCAGGAGAAGCTTGGCAGCTCCTTGCAAGGAGAAAAGAGCCCCAGCTGTCTCCTTCGTGCCGTGAATGGCTCAGAGTGCACGGATAGGACTTCACACTGCAAGGCCTCCAAATGCTGCACTTTACTGAGCGTGTGGCAGCTCTGCTGGCCGCACCGGGGCTCCGACAGGCACTGAGCAAAGTCACGACTTGTGAGGGAATGGGGAGGCTCACCTGGCAGCCACGAAGGCGCCGATGATCATCGCAAACACTGTCATCTGCACGCCCCAGGAGAATTTCTTCCTGAAAGGAGAGGAACGAGGGCACCTCGTCAGCTACAGGCACACAGAGCCCCCATAGCAGGAGGGAAAGCAGCGGGGAGTAGCAGTGATGCAACGCATGCATTTAGGGAGATCTGCAACCCTGCCCACAGCAGCAAGGGATCCACAGCGGGTGTTGCTCTGGGTCTCTCCAGCCCTAGCACCTTTGGGGACGCAGCAGCAGGATGGGCATCGTGCCTTCCACCCCCCAGACTGCGAACAGCCCATGTGAAAGCTGCAAGCAGGGGCAGAGTACGGGACCCCAACATGTGCCAGCCCTGTAAGCACACTGGGAACAGGCAGCAGAGCTGGAAACGTGCTGCTGCCCTGCGTTGCTGCAGCCGTGCCAGGCTCCTGCTCTCACCCACACTCTCCTCCAGCCCAGCACGGAGCCACGACCCCCAGCCCAGAAAACAGATCCCAACTCTCGAGCCCCAGAGCCCCCAAGGAAACTCACTTGAGCAGAAGTCCTTCGGCAAACATGGTGAAGAGGATGGAGAACCTCCGTAGCACGGTGAACATGGGCAGGCTGTGGGGAAGGCTCAGCAGGGTGAGGTGCCCAGAACTCCCCTCCATCCTCCCCCCCCCCATCACCCCACGGGGGCACCCAGCCGCACCCCCAGCACCTCACGTCCTTACTTCAGCTTCTTGGTGCTGAAGAGCCCCGTGATTTGGTTCCCGAAGTACAGGAGAGGTAGAGGAAAGGTCTGGAAAAGGAACGAACAGAGCGAGCCGAGGGTCAGAGCGCTGCACCCACGTTTCCTATCGAGATACGACCCGCGACAGCACGCGGCCAGCGGTCAGCTCACCCGACGCGGGACGTGCCAGTCGAGGTCGGGGAACTTAAGGAGCCGCAGCGCTTTGCCCGCACGCAGCACCGCCACCGTGGCCAGCATCTGCGAGAGAGCGGGGGGCGGTGAGGGGGGTGGGGGGGCAGCGGGCGGGGGGCGGCGAGGGGGCGCCACACTCACCTGGCCCAGCCCCACGCACAGCGAGGACGGGAACCTGCGGGCACAGAGCGGCGGTCAGCGCGGAGCCGCGAGCGCGCGGAGCCCCGCGGGGTCTCGAGCGCCGTCCCCCCCCCCAACTCCGCGGTCCCACAGGCCGTACCCGTAGGTGGTGAGCACGCTCTTGTTGACGACGACGATGAGGAAGGAGCTGAGGCCGTAGAAGGCCGCGGCCAGAAGCTTGAGGCACAGCGACAGGCCCGGCGCCGCCATGCCCTGCTCCGCATCGCCGCGCGCGGGGGCTCCCGCGGGGGCTCCCCCCTCGGCCCCGACCGCCGGGCGTCTGCGCGCCAACTGCGACGACATGGCTGCGGGGGCGTGGCTACTGCCGGTGGGCGGGGCTACGGGAAGAGGAGAGGCTACTGCCGGTGTGGCGGGGCTTGGGAAGGGGCGTGGTCACGGTCGGTGGGCGGGGCTAGCGGCAGTGGGCGGGGCTTGCGGGCAGCGTGGGAGCCGGAAGGGCGGGAATTGGGGCGGCTGTGCGCGGGGACGGTGTGCGTTGCGGGGGGGGCACTGGGATTGGAGGTGCGAGGGGCACTGCAAGAGGGCACGGGATGCTGCATTGCACGGGGGGCTGAGGGGGCCTGGCAGCAGGGGGGCGTTGCTGGGGGGAGTGGGTGTCTGCGCTTTGCAGTGCGGGATATGGGGGGCGTCGCGTGGTGGTGGCACCGCAGGTTGGCACGCATGGAAGTGCTCCCTGTGCTGCTCCTTCCTGCTGAAATACAGGGAGCCCCGCTCTAGGGGTTTCCCCGGGGCTCAGGGCCCACTCGCTGCCTGCCGGGCCGTGAGACTCCGGGGGGGGGGAGGGGAAACCGCAATGAGGCGGCTTGGAAGGGAAATTAAAATAAAAGTAGGTTACGGCAGAGCAGCGAAGCACGCGGGCCGGTGTTTCGTGCAAAGACAAAACAGCGAACGTGCCCGGCCCATCGCAGTACCTGCACCTCCCCCTCCGAACCCCCCGTCCCGGCTGCTTCGTTCGGGGAAATCCCGCCCCAAAAGCGGCTGTTTGCGGGTTCCTCCTTCCCGATGTCTGCACTCGGCCCCACCGCCAATTTTAGGTCAGTGGCACAGGCATAAGGGCCGGCTATGGCTCTCGGAGCTGCCGGCTGCGGTCAGAGCCAGCGGGACCAGCGGGACCAGCTGTCCGTGTCACCGCGCTGCCACTCGCACAGCCACGTGCACCGCACCCACGTGTCACCACGACCCCGCAGCCCCGGGCACAACCAGCTCCGCGGGGCTCTCAGCTCTGAGTTCACCAAAAGTAGCAAAATCCGCCGATTTCACCCCAATAGGGCGGGCGAGGAAGTGGCTGTGAGATGCCATCGCCCATGTGTGGTGAGGGGATGGCAGCGAGGACCCTCCGTGTTTCCCCTCCTGGGCAAATCTGGGGGCTCTGCCCGGGTGATGCCCAGCACTGAGACTGGAATATCTGGCACTGGAGTGAGGGAATGAAGTCGGAGCAAAGGCTTCAGAATGGGGGTGCAGGCATGGGAAGAGGATGGGGAGAAATGTGCAGCAGGGTGGAGAAGTGTGCAGTGGCATGCTGTGCCATGCTGTGCCATGCCGTGCCATGCAGTGCCATGCAGTGCTGTGCTGTGCTGCACCATACTGTGGCATTCTAGCATTGAAGGGGGGGTTGGTGGCCCTGCATATGGCTAGGGGGTTGGAGATTCGTGATCCTTGAGGTCACTTCCAACCCTGGCCATTCTGTGATTCCATGCTGTGCCACGCCGTGCTGTGCTGTGCCATCAGGACTCCCTCTGCAGCAGCAGCAGGGCTATTTACACCTCTAGAACTCAGGCCACAGGGCAGATAAAGCAGGAGATGAAAAGCCCTGGAGGGAAGGGCAGAGGGATGGGAGAACACAGAGCTGCAGCTGCCCTGAGGGGAGGACGGAGTGTCGGGTTTGTCAGTGCGGAGAAGGGAAGGAAGTGAGATTTTATTCCAAAGGAAGGCAAGAGCCTCTGAAAATGTCACTGGATGATACAAGTACTTTTTCCTTCCATATTGCATGAAACACGTCAGTAACAAGCCCAGATTCCCTCTGCAGCCCCGTGAGCTCACTCCGTGTCCAAAGGCATTGCAGCCTCTTGTTTGGCACTGCAGCAGGGCAGAGCTTTGCCCACCGCTGCCCTTCACCTCCCAGCACCATGGCACAGATCCACCAGAGCCCCGATGAGAGGGCTGCCCTGCCTGGGAAACGATCTTCCATGACCTTTACTTGTGCTGCAGGGTGAGCCGAGCTGTGCGGTATTTCCTGTGGTTGCAGCATCTAAAGAGGTTAACACTGTCACTGAGGTTAACCCTTCCGCTGACGGGGTGGGGGTGGAGGGGACAAACTGGGGCAAACAGGGAGGGTGGCACCAGCAGCCCTTGCTCTGCTTCGCCCGGGTTTTCCAGCCCTGAGCACTGGGAAACAGCAGCAGAGGAATGGGCACGCACAGCCCCGCTCCTATGGGCTGTGTCACCGGAGGCTTTGGGGTTTAGTCACAGGACATAAAAGAGTTCCTTGGTGAAATCTGGGGTTCGGCAGCCCCCGCAGTGGTGGGGATGGCAGCGTGAGGTGTCTGTTGCAGAGCACAGAGTGAGACGAGCGTAACGAAATCACGGAGTTTGCCAGGAAAACATCATCCTGCAAGAGGGCAAGAAGCGCACACGTGAGCCTGTTGCTTTAAGGGATGCTGGGTTTTCCCATGGACTGACTCAAAGTGGAAACTGTGCTTTCTCAGCATGCAATGTAGGTCAGTGCTGCCGGCAGTCGCTGTTGCTGCTCGCTGTGACCAGCAGTGAGGCTGCAATGGGTCCCCATCCCATCGCCGTGGGGCAGCAGCCCCACTCCTGTTGTCACCGCTCGGCTCCCGCGTGCTCCTGACCCCGGTAACCACCTGCAGGCTCGAGGGCTGAGATGGCTTCTTTCTGCTTTGCTCTTTGCTTTTCATCTGTTCGGCAACAGGGTGCTGGGGGATTTGTAACAGAGATGGGATCAGAGAGACGTATCTGGAGACGAGACTGCACTCGTGCCTTCTGGCTTTGGAGTTTGCCAGTGCTGTAAATTGGAATGAAAACGTGTGCATAAGAAATGCCCTGAGGAGCAGAGCTGTGACTTCACGCTGCAACTGGCTGCCGTGAGCATTTATTATTTGCTCAGAGTTCTTCCTAGACCACGAGTGTTGTTTCTTTTAATTTGCTCCAACTTGCAGGAGGTGTGCGGGCAGCTGGGAGGCCTTCAGAGCCCCTCCCTGGGTCAGTTTGGCGCCTGGCTGCTCCTTATGAATGCTTTCACTGTGCTTGAAGAAAATGAGGTCAGCGCACACATCCCGAAGGTAACAGGGGGAGAAGTGCAAAGGCGTGAGCTGCATTTGGGAGGTTGTTTCGGGATGGACTGTGCTGCTTTGAAGCTTTTTGAAGCTCGGGGTGGATAATGCTCTTTTGAAGCTTTTACAGTGGATTCTGTGCCCCGTTCCCAAAAAGGAGCCCTTCATCACTGCCCCCAGGGCCAGCGGGTGCAGTGGGATGGGAGAAGTGAGCCAGGTGGGAAGGAGGGTGAAGGGAGTGCAGGGAACTTCAGGGGAGCCTGGAGCCATGAGCTTGTGTCCTTGGAGAGGTAGGAAAGCCCCTGCTGGGTCTGAGAGGCAGCAGCTGGATCACAGTAGGTTGGGGACGTCAAGAGAGTTTGGTGTTCCCATCCCATGGCACCACAGCCATGTGGGTTTGGCTGTTTCCAGGGATGGAGGCTGCACAGCAGCCCACTCACAAGCCCCGGCACCTTTATGGCAAAATTATTTTTCCCTGAGTTTCAGTGGAATTTTGATCTCCATCCCAGCTGTGCAGCCATTGCTCCATCAGATCTCTTGCCACACTGGGCATGGGGGCTGGCTTCCCAGTGTCCCCGACTGCCCTCAGCACCCCAGGCTGGGTGCCTGGCAGCACTGATGCCTTCCCTCATCCCCAGGCTATGCCCCACACAGGCAGCAGCTGCAGCCCAGGCCATGGCGGGAGGCGGAGAGGCTTTCGTGCTCCATATTCTGCTCTGCATCCTGGGCAGAGGTAAGTAGCCATCCAGCGCGGCATGGCACAGCACGGCATGGCATAGCTGTGCCTTTTCCAGGAAAGCCAAATCGAGCTGTTGTCATTTGAGCATGAGCTTTATCAGTGCTGCTGCAGAGCCCCAATCTGATAGCACGAGTCAGGGCGCTGCTGTAATCTCAGGGATCAGAGCTTTCAGTCTATGCGTTATTTCCCTGCAGTCATTCAAGCATTAGAGCAGAAGGTAAAACTGGTGAGGCTGTTTCCGAGCTGAGCAATGAGTCACCAGCTGCTTGCACCCTGCACTTGGGGGCTGTACTGAAGCTGTGAGCGTTGTGCAGGTGCTGCCCAAATCAGGTGCCTGGGGCACGTGAGGATCGAGCCAGGCTCAGTGGTGCCAATGGGTTCCAACGTCTCCATCACCTGTGTCTCGGCGCTGGACTGCCCGTGGGCGAGCCTCTCCATCCTGCTCAACCTCACAGCCCCCGAGGGTCCCCCACGCCTCCTCAACAGCAGTGCAGCCCAGCTGCAGCTGCGTGGTTTCCGCCTGCCCTTCAGCATCATCACCTGCCTCGCCCGCTGCCCCAACAGCTACTGGAACGAGGTGATCTGCGGGACGGAGCTCTGGGCCGGCTGTGAGTACCGCTGTGGGGTTAGGGGTGATGGGGGAGCAGTAGGGCTGAAGGTGGGTATGCTGATGCTGCCTCTCTGCAGACCCCCCAGAGCCCCCCGCCAACCTGAGCTGTGCCATCCCTGAGCGCTCGGGGAGCCTGGCATGCACATGGGACGCCGGGCAGCCGACACTGCTGCACACCAACTACAGCCTCCACCTGCGCAGGTAGGGGCCCACAGGCACTGGGGAACCAGATCACAGAATCCTAGAATGGCCTGGGTTGAAAAGGACCCCAATGCTCATCAGTTCCAACCCCCTGCTGTGTGCAGGTCACCAACCAGCAGCCCAGGCTGCCCAGAGCCACATCCAGCCTGGCCTTGAATGCCTGCAGGGATGGGGCATCCACAGCCTCCTTGGGCATCCAGCACTCAGGGCACAGCAACCCCATTCCCAGCATGAACCTAAGGGTGCCCAAGCACCTAAACAAAAACGCCATGAGGAAATAAGGACTGTACACCAGTGGCCTTCCTGCCCTAGCCCTACACATGCTGTGCCACATGCAAGGCCAAGCCCCCACGGCGTGAGGCTGCTGGGCTTTCATTGTCAACCCACTCTGCTATTCAATTACGTGCAGTCTGTGTGGGTTTTCTGATGAACCACCAAAGGAGCCTCTGGGGTGCAAACTCTGAACCCTGCAGCCTGAGCGAGCTGTGGGAACTCCCTTCCTGCAGCAGAAACATGAATGCCATGCAGCAGTGCCAGGAACCAAAGAGAATGATTTGCTAGTTCACTTGAAGAGTGAAAAACTGCAGCTCTGGAGATGACTGTTCCCCACTCAGGGCTCTGAGCGTGGCTGCTTTCTGCCCCACAGCACGCAGACAGCGCAGGAGGATGTGTTCCCCACGGATGCACCGGTGCCCTTGAGTGCACTGAATGGCAGCAGTCACTACCTGGTGTGGGTGCAGGCCAGCAATGCACTGGGCACAGCACGCTCAGCTCCTCAGCACCTCGACCTGCAGCAGCTCGGTACGCCGCAGCACACACTGTGCCCTGCGCTGGGGCTGCAACCACGGGCATCTCCAGCATGCTGTGCCCACACGGTGCTGTGATCCCCGGCTGATGGCTGCTGCTCTCCTCGCAGTGGTGCCCGCAGTGCCCCTGGCTGAGAGAGCAGAGACAACGGCTGGGTCACCTCCCACCACCACCATCCACTGGCGACAGCAGACGGAGCTGCAGGACGTGCGCTGCGAGGAGCGGCACAAGGCAGTGGGTGCTGCGGAGTGGCAGGTGAGATGGCACTAAGCCCCATTATAGAGCCACGGGTTGGGGTCCCTAGGGAGCAGAGTGGGTAGAACATCCCTTCCATCAGCATTAACACTGCTTCTTTAAGCAAAAAGCAGAAATTGTCATATTTGTAAGTCTTCTCTAGCTCTGCAAGGGCAAGGTGCAAAAAGGCCACTGGTGGTGCTCAGCAAACACCCACTTAATCAATTCCCTCCTCATCGACACACACACAGCTACACTTGGGCAAACTGCACCAAGGTCCTTTTCGGAACCCTCCCTGGGGCTGGCAGATGGCTGACCCTCAGTCCCAGCACTCAGCAGAGCTGCCAAAATGGGGGACTGGCCCGGTGCCAGCGGGACAGAGCTCTGCGGTGTCCTGGGTTAAATGGGTTCAGTTGTCTTTCCCCTGACCTTAATGCATAGGAATCAAAGAATCACAGAGTCATTAAGGCTGGAAAAGACCTCCAAGATCATTCCCACCATGAGTACTACATGAGCTCCAAAGTGGCGCAGGGAAACCTGGACAAGCCCAACCGTTGTGCCAAGCATGGGCACCTGCTCACGCTCTCCGGCTGTGCTCACCCACTGCTTTCTCCTCAGCAGCAGACCCCCAGGCTGGGCTGCACTGTGGGTTTAGCAGCACCACGTGCTCAGTGGGCTGAGCGTCCCCAGGTGAGCGTGGTGGCCCTATTGCTTGTTTGCCCTGCAGGTGACAGCATGGGACAGTGCAGTGCAGCGTGGACACCAGCTTCAGAGTGCCACCAGCTACGTGTTCCAGGCACGGTGCCGGCTCAGCGCTGCAGGCAGCCCCTGGAGTGCTTGGGGTCTGCCCTTCATCTACAGCACACCTGAGGCTGGTAAGTGGTGGTAGGGCATTGCAGGGCCACGCTGTGCTGTGTGCAGTGGTGGCTTGTCTGGCTCTTGAGGTCGCTGCAGAAGTGCTGAGCTGTGCAGACAGCAAAAAAAGGGGGGATTTGGTGTGTTTTTCCATCTTTGGCAGCTTGCTTTCCTCCAGTAAATTGGAAAGAGCATTTCAGACTCTTCAGTAGGATGTGTCCTTGATAGGATAAGAGGAGATGGCTTCAAACTAAAAGAGGGGAGAGTTAGATGAGATGTAAGGAGAATGTTCTTTACACTAAGGGAGGTGAGGCGGTGGCACAGGGTGCCCATAGAGGCAGGGTGCCCCAGCCCTGCAGACACCCAAGGTCAGGGATGGGGCTCTGAGCACCTATGGAGCTGTGGGTGTCCCTGCTCATTGCAGGGAGTGGGACCAGGTGGTTTTTAAAAGCCTGTTCCAACTCAGACGATTCTACAATGCCATGATTGGTCCCCCTGCCCCCTCATGGCAGCCTTTCCCCTTTGAAGCTGGGCTGGGTGAAGTCAGCTGAGATATTCTGGCCGGCAGCAGCAGGGCGAGGAGCCCAGGGCAGCTCTTATCCTTTCCCACACACCGTCACCTCGGTGTGACACAGTCCGGCCCGGGGGCTCAGGGCAGCCAGAAATGGGCACGCAGGCGATGCTCCGACGTGGGCATCTCAAGGCACGTCCCGGCTGTGTCCCTCAGCCCCCGCGGCAGCACCCGACGTGTGGCGGCGGCTGGGCCGGCAGTTCCCCAACGGCAGCCACGAGGTGACAGTCTTGATCAAGGTAAGGCCCTTTCGGGGCGGCTCTTGCTCTCTTTTAGCACGTTAGCTCCAAACACTAAGGGGCAGTAGCAAGCAACGCTTCGCTCGCCGCAGCGACCGAATGACGGTGACGACGGCATCAGAGGGCGGGGAGCCATCCCCATCCCATCCCCACCACGATCCCCACTCCATCCCCATCTCCACCTCTCGCCCCCCGCAGCCGCCCCGCGGTGCCCGCACACCCATCCTGGGTTACGCCGTGTGGGCCGGAGCCTCGCGTCCCCTCTGCAACACGTCGAGCGCAGCCTGCAGCCTCCTCCTGCCTCCAGCACTGCTCGACCTCCGCGTCACCGCCTACAACGCCCGAGGGGCTTCGAGCCCCGCCCGTGTGCCGCTCCGCCGGGACCCCAGCCCGGAAGGTGGGACATCGAGCTCTCCTGCTTCGGCCTTTTATCTGAATGGCGAGGGGAGAAACGTTATCGTGCACGCACGTGGGTTTAAAGCGAGAGCGGAGCCCGTCTGCCAAGGGAACGCAGTGTCCTCCAGACAAGGCCACAGTCCTTGGAGATGCCCCAGCAGCACAGCTCAGCGCTTCGCCTCCGAAAGCTGCAGCAATGAGTTTAAAAATAAGCTTGTCCTGCTGGCAGGGCACCGTCCGTGCTCACAGCTCCCAAAATAGCCAGAGTGTCCAGGCCGGGAGCTGGAGCTGCCAGGCATGAAGGGAGGAAAGGCTTCTGGGTGCCTCAGGCTCCCTGTGCCACACGTTGTGGTTTTCCCCACAGCCGCACTTTCCTATTTTTGAAAATGTCTCTTTTTGCGAACAATGGGAGGGGAAAGTCCCATTCAAATGAAGGACAAACAGTGAGTGTGACTAAACAGATGCTTTGCTGTATAAACAAGGTGGAAAAAATTCTCTAATCTCCTCCTGATCAGAATCACACAGGTTTCCTGTAAATCTGTCAGGTAAAGCATTTCAGACGGAGGAGACATGACAAAACTGAACACGTGCTTTTGTGTGGCATGCATGTGTGTGTATATCTCAATATCAAATATAGAGACAGACAGACAGACGTAGATGGAGATATCCAAGAACATCTCCTCCCCCCCCCCAGCCCTTACCCCCTCCGGCACAGCAGCCCTCCAATCTCACTGCTCTCACTACAGGTCCCCATGCCACCTCCTCTCTTTGCAGCCTTCCCACCACCACTGGCTGTGGATGTGCAGCACAAGAACCAGAGCACCATATTGGTGGCCTGGCAGCCCCCCCGGCACAGCAGGACCCCCCCACTGTGGTTCATAGTGGAGTGGCTTTGTACAGCTCCATACAGCCACGAGGAAGAGTTCTTTTGGAAGAAAGTCCCAGGCCAGGACACCCACACCTACATCCGAGGTAAGATATCCAAGAGTCCTTTTTGCTGTTGGGTGCAGATTGTCAAGGTGTTGTAAAATCAATACTTCATCTGGAACTGAGCCCCTGCCCACTTGATTTTGGAGCATGGGAGCATTCAAGAGCGAAGTGATAGAAGACTTGAGGGCACCCAGTGGCATTTGGTTCCACAGCTGAAGGCCAGGAGGAAAAAAAGAAGCAGAGAAAGAGAAGGAAGAGATGAGCGAGGTGGCAGGGAGTGAAAGTAGGGTAGTGCCTGGAGCTTGTGAAAGCACAGAAATACAGATGTGCATTTATACAGAGAGAGAGGGCAAAACACTAGATGTAATGAGGCTGCAACTTCAGCTCATCTCCTCACCCTGTAATGGCCAGGGCTCATGGCCCTGCAATGGCCAACCTGCGAGCCCAGCAGCAGCGAGATCTCAGACCTGTCCCACCTGTCTCCTGGTTCCCACCTTCATTCTGGTGTTCGTTGGCTTCAGAGCACTTCCTAAACAGTTATCTGGCCAAGTCTTTGCTCTTTCATCTGTAAACCCCACACCTCCTCTCCTTTCACTGCTCTATCAGAAGCTCTTGAGCAAATCCACAGCTTTAAAAGCAGCTAATAGATACAACTTAAAGGCAACTATTGCTTCTTTCCAGAGGATGCAGCAGCAGGAAGCCACATCAGCGTGTCAGTGTATGCAGCCTACCCAGATGGAGTGAGCAAACCAAGCTCTGGCCAAGGTAAGCTCCATGTGTAGAAGTTGCTGCCTGCTGCGGTGGAGCTGCAGAGCTCAGCTCGGTGGTATCCTCACAGTCTGCCAGTTTTGTAGTTTTAGAAACAAGAGGTAAAAGCCTGCTGTGGACCAGAGAGAAAAGCAAGGTCTAGAAGGAAATCTTATGGCTGCAGGACACACTGCAGACTTTAACACACCTCTATGAAAGCCTCTTCTAGCTGATACTCCTTGCTATCATGCACAGATCTCTAACAGCACACCTGAGAATTGCATGTTACTCTACAAAATACATCACTGGAGTCATTCTCCCTTTTTGGGACAGAGCAGATGAGGTTGCTGCTTTCCCTGTTTGGCAGTTGTTAAAGTAAAGACAAAACAAACCCAACTTTGACAGAGAACCGGCCAAGCTGCAGCCAGCCTCATCTCACCTGGAGCTGGATGTAGGCAGGCTTCAGTTCTGGAAAGTATTTAATATTAAATAGGGCATGGGCCAATTAAAAGAGACAGTAAGAACAATCTATTTCTCGTCTCCAGCAATGTGTGTAGGCTGTGACTGCCCTCAAGAGCTGGACATCCTGATGGCCCTTTCCTAAGCCAGGACAAGCCTTGCACAGCCCAAAAGCTGAGTGCAGAAGACACCTCCCAGCAGCCCCAGAGCTGTTCCACAGCTAAATGTGCCAGTGTGACACCGTCCTCCACAAGTGCTTCATTCCAGTGCTGCTGAGTTGTTGGCTCAGGCACTTTCCTTCCACAATTCCATATAACCAAGGGCTGCTTTGTAATGCAGAGCTGAGTGTGCTCTTCCTCTAAGCTGCTCTGCGTGAGGGAATTGAAGTACTTGCTAGGAAAAGCATTTGTCTCAAATCTACAAAATTAAAGACCTTTTCCATGGTTTCTTGCCCCTGATTTTTGCTAGTGAATTGCATTATAGCTTTGCTGAAACAGCTGCAACATTAGCCAGGTCAGCTCAGGTCAAAGCCCAGTGCCAACTTGGTGACATGAAATACAGTTGGACACCAGGGCTGACATTGCTGCATACCTCTCTGGTACAGTACCATGTAGGCAGAGTTTGGAAGGGAGAACTGCACACAGATAGCTTTACAAAGCAGTGAAGGCTTTCCCTGTGGGTTTGTGCTGGTCCTTGCAGAGCTGGTGCAAAGCAGAATTCTGATGGGTGTTTCTCCTCCGTGCCTGCATGGCTTTGCCAGGCCTGGACAAGCTCAGTGCATTGGCCACCATGAAAGTACTGTGAATTCCAAATGGTTTTCACTCCTTTTCATCCAAATAAGTCCAAACTCACCGATCAGTGACTCTTGTAGAAGTTACCAGGTATGTTCAAGCAGCCTATGAGCTCAGGACGTGGTGCTGGGTGTTCTGAATTGTCTCTGTCAGCTCTAAGACTGCAGATGAGGATGTTAGCTGTGTTCTTATCAAAGCCAGTCAGCCTAAGCACGATCAGCCTGTGGTTCTTGCAGAGGGGCATGATGTTTCTGGAAGCCATTTTTTCTAAATAATATGAATAAAATAAACAGTAACTTCTACTTCATCCACTTTACTTCTGTAAATGAAGTGATGGGCATTTTTTCCTCTCTCTGCTGCAGTTTCTTCAGAGGACAGGATGTTGGACATCATCTACCAGGAGGCTTCGCATGGTAAGAGCAGAGTATTTCAGTCTTGGTAAGCGAGAGTTTCTGCTTGAGCAGAAAAGTTTTGGCCAGAGCAGCAAGTGTGGCATCTGGAGATTTAGGAAAGGAAAAAACTCCACATATTTTTGAGAGGTCAGAGCCAGAAAAGAGATTTTCACTTGACGGGAAAGTAAGCCACATATTGAGAAAGTAGTGAGCAGAGTGAGCAGAACATGCATCATCCTGCAATTTAAGCTTTGTTTTCTTATGAGACATGTAATAAAATGTACATTCCAGAAAATTGGAGGTAAGAAAATAAGGAAAATAAAAGATCATAGAATCACAGAATGATCTGGGTTGAAAAGGACCACAGTGCTCATCTAGTTTTAACCTCCTGTTATGTGCAGGGTCACCAACCAGCAGACCAGGCTGCCCAGAGCCACATCCAGCCTATGAGAAGGAATGTTAGCAGACGCAGTAGCCTAACAGTGACCGACTTCTGCCCTTACAATCTGAGCCAAAGACTTGCTTAAACTTTTCCCATCTATTTTTCTAACTGCAATTGTGTTCTGCATGCGTTCTGGTGAAGATTATGCTATGATCTGTTTCAGTATTTAAAACAAAACAAAACCGACGTGAACTGAAAAATTCACTTGAGCATTTCTGGAAGGTACCTCTGCGTGGGAAATGGTTAAACACAATGACCACACTTCTTAGAATTACTTGCCTACAGCTCCCATCTGCACAGGAAAGGGCCCTCGGTGCTCAGCCTGGTGCTTCACTGCCTCCAGCTTTAAATGCAGGCGTTCTTCCTGCAGGCATCAGAACTGAGGGTAAACCTGTAGGGACAGCAACAGGAACGCGAGGAGTTGAGGTCAGCGTGACTGATTGTGGATGCACAATTATTCACAAGGGAGGAATCAGACCACAAACGCCATCTTTAAGCTGCCTGATCAATTTTTTCCCTCTTTATCCTTTTTTTTTTTTCTTTTTCAGATGATGACATCAGGTTTTTCCTGGGAATGGGTGTCAGTGTGATCATATTATCTGTGGTTCTTGTCATTCTGATGTTGAAAAAATCAGCTAGGAAAAGGTATCACTTTTGTCACATTTTTTTCCTTATTTCCAACTCATGCTTTTCTTCCAGAATACTTTAAAGTTAACTACAGAAACGGATCCTTTTCTCTGTGCTCTGCTCTCCCTGAGGGCAGCTGCACCCATTGATCACATTGCTGCAGAAAAGGATACCTGTGAATTCCACAGCATGGGAGAAAACAACTGAAAGAGCAAAAATGATTCCCCCATTGAAGCTAGGCTTAGGGACACATGATATATTGTTATTATACAGTGCATACAGGGGGAGTGAAAGAAGAGAGAGGAAAAACACAGCTCTCTTTATGTAAGTTTTGTACTAGAATTTGGTTCCGCTACTTTCGAATGAGGAGAGAATGCTGTCCCATGCAGGGTCTGTTGGCTGCCCCTCACATCTGCACCCTGGTACTGGCAGAGATTGGGGAGTGTCACAAAGTGTGACATTACCATAGAACCACAGCATGGCCTGGGTTGCACAGGAGCACAACGCTCATCAGTTCCAACCCCTGCTGTGTGCAGGTCACCAACCAGCAGCCCAGGCTGCCCAGAGCCACATCCAGCCTGGCCTTGGATGCCTGCAGGGATGGGGCATCCACAGCCTCCTTGGGCAGCCTGTGCCACTGCCTCACCACCCTCTGGCTGAAACACTTCCTCCTCCTATCCAACCCAAACCTCCCCTGTCTCAGTTTAAAGCCATTCCCCCTTGTCCTATCACTGTTATGCTGAGCACCCTCCACCACTGCCACAAATGGAACCCAGAGCAGCAGGATGGAGAGCTCAAATGGGAAAACCTACCTGAACAAGGGTCTGTAAACCCAATGCTTCCGAGCCTTCCACAAAGGCCATGAGTGATCAACACGCTTGGAGTTCCCCCACCACCCCTGGGGACGATTTCATCCAGAATGGACAAGTGAGTGACAACAAAATAGACTAACTCTTGTTTTCTCTCTCTTTTTTTGATGAAGAACTAAGGCAGCAGTGGCTCTGGTCTTGCCAAAATGGCTGCTTGAAGATTTCCCCCACATGGAAAACAGCAGGGTGATAAAGTCCTTCCAGGTAACTGCACCACTGCATCCCAGCTTTTTTTCCACTTACAAATACTCAGATGGAAAATCACTCTGTAGGTGTGAGAAATATGGACAAGAAAAGAGTTCAGCCCTAGGGGATGTAGAACTCAGAGAATCCTTGTCCTCCCATTTGCACTGTGCACCGGAGCCCAGCTTAGCTTGATCTTTAGACCTTGTCTCGATATAAATTTCATGCAGTAGAACCAAATCAAGCTGACCTCGAGGTGTCCATGTAAACATGGAGATGTGCAGCTCTTCTGTCTGTTCTCCACATCTCACTGTAATCTGCTTTGTGGTGGTGATTGGAGGAGAGAGGAGGAGAGGATGCTGAGATGCAGACCAAGAAGTCATTGTCCCATTTCGCCCTTGTGATCCTCCCATGATATCACTCCTACTGGTAACATCTGCCTGTTTGTTAGTGCAGTCATCCTTTTCTTTTCTAGGAGAAGAGCGAATTCACAAGCAGCATTTTCAGTGGGCCGGTCCCGGATAACAGTGACCCCACAATTACGGAAATACAGGAGCTGTCAGGGCACAAGAAATACAGGAACGTGGACATCAAAAAGGAGCCCAGCAGCGTGGTCCCTGAGAACGTGGAGCACCCACAGAGCTCAGCACCCCCCCACAGCACGGCCACGGAGCAGGTCGGTGACTACAAACCCCAGATCTCTGATGCAAACACACTGGGATATGTAGCTGCCAACATTGGCCTAATACAGCCCTACACGCCGGCTCCAGAACCAGAGACAAGTATTTTCTTCAGAGACTACAGCAGCCCCTTCAGCTACCTGTGGGATGCTCAAGGAGCTGAAGGGCCCCAGATCTGCCTGCTGGATAAGATCAACCTGGTTTTAAACAACGACAGAAGCGGGCAAAACCACGCGTTCAGCTCTGCCCAGGAGGAACAAAATGCACTTCTGGAAAACCAGTGGGAAAAAACACTGTACAGTGAAGGAGCTCAGGAACAAACCTTGGTTCCAGATGAGCTGGTTTCTTGCTTAAGGGCAACGAATGGAGGATCTGTGGATATACAGACCTGCTTTCCGCAGAGCATCGGGAGATTGTTTTGAGAGAAGCTGTGATTAAAAGCCCACAGACTTGTGACAATCCCATCGTGACACATATCTGCCTTTGAGATGTCAAACATCAGAGCCGAAATAAAACTCCAGATCTGAAACTCTCCCCCTTACCTGACCACAAATAGCTTTTGGATGCCTTGTCCAGTAAAACATCATTTTAATTTTACCTCATGTTTTTACAAACACAAAAATGTGAGCTTGGATTCCTGTAGGAACTGAAATACAAAGCAGGTGATTCTTACAGGATGCATTCTGCTTCAATTATTAGCCTAAGGCACTCTCTTGTTAAATATACAGAACATGTAACACCTGGAGCTGATTGCCTTCAAGATGGATAAAACCGTTCCTGAGGTATTCTGGCTGAAGTGTGTAAAATAGCTTGGGATCACCCCCAATGAAGAGACACTACAATGAGGACAATTTACACATCATGCAGCAGCCATGGATACCATACGAAATCTTTTCTGTTTGACAGAATAGCCCAATTTCATTTTCCTTTCCATTCAATAAGAAAAAAATCCATCAGGTAAGAACAAACCTTCATCATCTTGGCCTGCCAGCCCCGCTGAAAATCTCTGTCTCCATTTGTCACTGGGCAGATTCTTCATTTTGGATGAAGGATTCATCACCTCATATCAGTTTGTCTGCGGTTTGGCTTTGCTGCTCTGTACGAAGCAGAACATGGCAGAGAGAAATGGCATTTATTCAGTGCATATGAGGAAATTTGGATCTTCTGAGATGCAGAAAACAAAATATCAGAGTCTCCTTCCTGCTGAGTGGTCTTGAAAGCAGTTAAAAGTTTGCCCAGGATGTCAGAGGTAGCCTTGCAAGACGGCAAGCACCTGGGAATGTGAGAGGTTGGATTATTATCACTTCTCTGACTGATCACCCCAACCTTTTAAGGAAACACTTGAAATGCTCTGAAGGAATACAAGCATAGAAGGAGTTTACTGTACCCTGTAAAATGGCTGAGCATTCCATGAGCAATGCTCTCCCTAAGGTTTGTTCTACTGGTCCTTCTCTCCTACCTCTTATCACAGCAAAGACTGTTTTTATGCCAGAGCTGTGTGCTCGGGGTGGGCAGGAGTTGGTGCCATGCAGGCAGCACTGCATGGGGCTCAGGGTGCAGCGAGGGGAGGGCATTGGTCCTGAAGCCTCCTCCATGCTGCTCAGAGCAGGACCTTGGGCACTGCAGCACTGCTAACAACAGGGAGCACAAAGGAGCCTCTGAACTGCGTACCAATATGTGTGATTTCCACTCACTGAGGAGTCTGTGCATCTCACCCAGCTCAGGGTAACGGAGCTGGCTGCACACATTGCAGGGAACACACGCAGGGGATGTATTTTGTAAGGCTGACATTAACAGAATGGTAAAAAAAATAAAAGAAAAAAGGAAACAAGATCACCTGACTGTGCATTACCAAACCAAAGGCTGTAAAACAGTCATAGCAAGACTCAGAATGTTTTTATAAGAATTACAAAGCTAATATAAATGCTAACCTACATGTAATTAGTTGTCTAGTATTATCCACTTGATGACTGTTGGCAGCAAAACCTAGAGATTATAATTTTCCTTTTGAATGTTGCTAGGCAATGTGTGCTTTTCTCTAACAGCTATTGCACAAATCGATCAGTTTTGTCATTTAGTCCTGGACACCTTCAAGCCAAAATAGTTGTGTGCCATGGTTGCTTCCTCTTTGCAATCAAGAGCTCTGCCATCTGTCACTTACATTCACAGAGCAGCACGTCACCTAGAAAGATGGGATAGGTTTGTTCTTAAGAAGCAAGTAGCAAAACCGTTTCCAAGCCTGAAATGTTACTCTCACATGTAAGCCAGTCTAAAATTAGTGATTGCTGCCTGTGCAGGAAGGAAATTGTAAGAGAACAGCCACATACAATCAGCAGCCAGAATGTGAGGTGTGGAAGGTATTTTTTTCAATGTCCACATCCTCAGAGTTGAGCTGCCTGCGTTACCTGAGCTGCCACAACACGTGGGGTGTTTACTGCTGCACGGAAACGCTCATCCTTCCAAATACCAGCACTGAAAGCGTGGTCTTACCTTGCAGCTTGCTGGCTGAAGGCTGTCACGCTAGGAGAGATACCTGAGAGCATTTCAGTGCTCAAGGAGGAGGTCGGCTCCTTCCCTGCTGAACCCATCGCACGCGGTGGTTTGGGGCTGAAACCTTCACCCCTGTCTCACTGCACACACATTAACAGCAGAGCTGCCTTCAGTTTCACCGGGAAGGAAGGATTTGTCTCTTTGCACGGGTGAATGCTGCAGCCAAAAAATACGGGCAGCTTACCAGGAGATAATGGAAGAAGGACAAAAAAATACACAGTACGGCTCCCCCTCTCCCTTGTAACCCATGTAGGTGGTGGTAACGGATTAGGTCTGGAGATGCCTGTGTTGCTCACCTCTGGCAGCGAGAGCTTTGGGGCGTGAGGGCAGCTCTCATTTTGTCAGCAGCCCAGTGCCATGTCACGACCTCAGCTTCATGTTCGACTTGTTAGATTTGCTCTTCTGTCTGCTTTTCGTCTCTGCCTGCTTTGACCTTGCAAAGGCCTTTTCATCAGGCCTGGGCCTTCTTTCCACTAAGTGCAGAACTGAGTGGTAAAACCCAGCATCCTGAGTGCCAGGAACTGAAGTAGCTGTCATGCAAGCACAACACCAAGATCCTCGTCACAGGAACCTTGAATACACGGACAGCTCAGCAGTTGCAATCAAATCGCAGTGAGATTCTTAACACACTTATTTAAGCATCTCCAGATTCACCTCTTCCCCAAATATTACATGCTCTCTGGTTCTTGGTATTTACATTTTCAAAACCTTTTTCTAAGCTTGCTTGGGTTGTTGGCAGCTGTATTGCGTGCCAGTGAGTTCCACAGGTTATTTACCAGTCTGACATTGAATTGCATGGGTTCTTCACCATGACTGTAACATGGGCTCTGAGTACTTTGGAGGCACACAGAGGATCCATATGCCAACTAGTGTCCCTGCACATAGACCATACACACCAACAAGCACCAATCTCTCACATAACTATCACTGGTCTGCCTGAGACTGCAGAGTCATCTAAACATAGCCTGGGTTGAAAAGGAGCACAACGCTCATCAGTTCCAACCCCCTGCTGTGTGCAGGTCACCAACCAGCAGCCCAGGCTGCCCAGAGCCACATCCAGCCTGGCCTTGAATGCCTGCAGGGATGGGGCATCCACAGCCTCCTTGGGCAGCCTGTGCCACTGCCTCACCACTGTCTGAAAGAGCTCAGTGATGAGAATGTTACTTGTGCAATCCACATCAGTTGCCACTCACTTAAATGTAAAGCAATTAAAATTCAAGGCACTATAGTTCATGGCACACAGATGTACCACGGTGCTGTTTCTCACTGCTGCTCAAACTAACCTCAGTGAAAAGGATCTTTTCATATGGCAAAAGAGAATAAACGAAAAAAGGAATACGAAAACGAAAAGCAACCTTTTCAAAGCTTGAACAGGCTCTGACCACAGCAAAGCCATTCATTGCTAGCTCTTATCTCCAGCCCATCGTGTCAGCATAGAATGTATCAAGTGTGAACTTCTACCAGCGTAAACTGAGATGGAAGAGGTACTGACACTGCCCCTCTGGGACTTGTTGCACACTGTTACCCCTCAGAAGGTGTGCTTGAAACAAAACCTACGGCAAGTTATGCATTAAATATGCAGAACTAGCTACAGTTTTGAATCACGTATGCTGCTGCACAGCCACCATACCAGCATTCTCCTGGAGAACACAGCATGCTGTCTGCAACTGAAGCACAAAGGAGGTGACTGCTGCTCTCAGCTCAGCCACTGGCAAGTTAGATTGCCTCAGCTGCTCACTCACAAAATCTGGACAGCAATAATTACTATTTCTAATAAGGCCTCTAGAGTCCAAACACGCCATGTGGCATCCAGTAGTTGGAACAGTACAAGAATACAAAGATAATGGAAATGTTCAGTGAGTAATCTTGTGGTGCTCATTGCATTCTGCACGTGCATTTGCTTGTCTACTCCATGCTGAAAGGTTTACAAACGTTTGTCTGTCTGTAAATTGTGAGAGATTTAGCTACAAATATGCCGCAGGGACTAAAATTAGACTGTAAACTGGAGGTAAAGGTTCACAAAGCTAAATAACAGCTGCAAACTGGGGATTTCTGGATGCAAAGACAGAAGACCAAAGCCCAGGTTGCGATCAGGACCTGCAAACAGCGCTATGAACAAATGCCCCAATTAGCAAAAACATTCTGAAAACAAGGCAGCTGAAAAAAGCCAGCAGGTAAAATAGTCATGCAATGACCCTATGAAGGTTCAATTAAAAATACTCTGTTTGAAGCATCTCATCACTGTTAGTCTTCAGGAGGATCCACTCCTTAAGAGGGAAGAGTAGTTTTTCAAAGGGTCGGAGGACTGAGCACAGCAGCAGAGACTGAAACTAAATGTGAATTTTGTAGAAGAGGATGTGAGAAGCGAGGCTGTGGTTTCACATCTTCAATGGCTTCAGTGAATGTTAGCTTCACAAAGTCAAACCCTTTAGAAATAATACTTGTAAAACAACGGGAGCAGCACTGTGATAAAAGATCAAAGCAAGCATTAAATACAGTGGATATAACACAAATTATAGAAGCGATCTATCAAAGGAGATTTCAAGACTGGTATTTACCAAAAAAGCCAAGTCCTTCCTTAAGAGAAGGGAATTAATCTTGCCACAAGAATATTGGAAACAGCAGCAACAAAACTCCATCATTCTTAACTTCATAGAAGATGCAGTATGACACTGCATCCTCCATAGGATTCCCTAGAATTGCCCTGTTGGACTCATATCTCAGAGTGAATTCAGCCACACTTTGCTTGGTTTCAAGGAGGCAGAGCAACTGTACTTGCAGAACTAAGTAACCAATTTCATTCTGCTAGGCAAAGGCAAACGCAGGCTCACTGGCGTGAACAACAGCTGTAAACCCAGCACTTGGACTACCTGGAACACTGAAGAAACAGACACACAAGTCATCGTTATCCCATGGACTGCTGTAGCAGCTGCTTCAATATTACCCTGCACAGTGGGCAGCTGAAGCTCACTGAAGGTATGGTGGGCAGAAAGGCAGATGGGATGAATGGAGCAAGCACAGGGCAGCACATGCTTCAGCCATGGTTTGACACGGCTCTCCTCAACCACAGTTAGGGTTTCCTCTTCTACTACGACGTGAGTCGTGGTCTTGCACAGTAAGTTGGATTGCTTTCCAGCCAGGTGTTTTCCTGCTTTGAATCACCAGCTCCCACCAGCACAGGGGCCTCCATCACCAGGGTGGGAGCTGCACAAACTGCAGTGTTGCCAGAAAAGACATCGCCTAATGGGGCCCTGAAGGAAACTTTTAGAAACGACTGTCTGGAGAAAAGCATTCAAACGAAAGGGCAGGGAAACCTATTGCTAACGTGGGAACCGGGAGGCCAGTGAGCAAAGCTGACCAAGAGGCCCAAAGAAAAAAGGAAAGGAAGGAGGCTGTGATGTGCACACAACTTGCTGAAACGTGGAGCCTGAAGGAGAGTGCTGCTTCTGATCTGTAGCGAGCTGAAACCATTACACTGATCATAATTACAATACCAATACTTGTGCTTCTCAAGCATTACGACTGCCTTGGTGTTGCCTCATGCACCATTGGATGTGCAGAAACACAAGCAAAAAAAGGCAACCGTTACATGAAGCCAACACATGAGAAAAAGCAACCATTTACCTTTCATGACAGATCACTGGTGGCAGTCACAGCAGATTCTGGGGGTCGGCTCCCATTTTCTCTCATAGAATCATAGAATCACCAAGGTTGGAAAAGACCTTCAAGATCACCCAGTCCAACCGTTCACCTATTCCCAATAGCTCCCACTAAACCATGTCCCTCAACACAACATCCAGTCTTTCCTTGAACACCCCAGGCTCGGTGCCTCCACCACCTCCCTGGGCATCCATTGCAGTGCCTGACCACCCTTTCTGAGCAGTAATACTTCCTAATGTCCAGCCTGAATCTCCCCTGCCGTAGCTTGAAACCATTCCCCCTGGTCCTATCACTATCATGGCTTTTCAAGCATTCAGTAATTAACTCGCAGCCAGCCGTCCCTCCTCACTTATCATTTCATTGCTGATGACTCAGTACCTTTCCTTCACAATTACTCTTTCTCGAGGTTATTTCCAGATCTACAACTCAACATAACCAGAGCGTGATGTCTGCATCTGCTGATTTCACTTCTGAGTTTGAATGCTGTGTTCTCTAGCAATAACTTTAACACAAGCCCTTGTCTGTTCTCTGACCCAGCTCCAGTCTTCTTCCCTCATCAGCTCTAACTTTCTCCCATTCTCATTAAAATATTTGGGAAAGAGGAGGCTTTTCAATATCTGGAACTTATTGCATTTTTAGATAGCTTTTTTTACCTTACAAACCCAGTGTAGGCACTGGCCAACTAAGCCCTTCCCAGCTCTCTGTTTTGCATTGCTTTGTTTAGCTTTGCAAGTCTCCTTTTATACATAACTTGATCCCAGATAAATTACTTCATCTTTCACTTCCAGCTGAGCAGAAATTGCCAATGACACAAATTCACATTCCACTGTATCATTTATATCCAATTCCCTTCCCCCCAGCCTCCCCCAGCCACCGCTATATTCAGGAAAATCCATATTCTTTGCTCACACTTTTTCTCTAATCCCAGCATTCAGTGGATCATAAAAGTGAGTTGAAGCATGCAGCACCTTGACCTCAACACATTATTCACAACTAATGGTGACTGCTTTCAGATTTATACCTCTGGAAGCTTGGCAGCACCAGGCCTGTGACTCATATCCCACCTGTGAGAGAAGCCCTCCCTTCCCCTGTTTCTGTAATCACCACAGTTTGTTTTAGGCAGTAAATATCTGACACAACAGTTTGTAATTCTCCCCCTGCCAGTAAGCTTGCACCCACCAGGTTGCCATATGTGTTGCACGTACAGCTCTGCTTTGGCACATTCTCATTTTGATCACACAAACTTCTCCCTTGAGAACTGACTCAGTGGAAGAACAGCTCTGCTGCTCACCCCTGGCAGCTGTGGGTCTCAGAAGGCAAAGCTTTGCCTGGGCTCTAGGAGCTGACACTGCAACCATCAATAGTACTGTGTTAGAACCTTTTCCTTTGGCCTCTTCTGCCGCAGCCCTCTCTGCTTTCTACAAATACTCCACAGCCCGTGCTCACCACCACTACCAAACATCACCTTCTGTCAGACACTGATGGTGCTTTCCCAAGCTGCATTTTAGAACTGCAGACACCACCTCAGCTCAGAGAACTGATGACTCTGAACTTCCCTTGACATCACCTTCTGCCCCAAGAAGCCCTGGCGGTGCAGGGAGGTTGGTACAGAGCTCAGCACACGATATCTCCATTTGCAGCAGGGGCCGTGCCCTTTCAATCTTCTTATTTTTGCAGTCGAGCACAAGGTTAAGCTTTTGGTAGTGCTTGCTCTTGCAGCACTGTGTCTTAATTCAGACTTGAGAGAGATGACAGAGTTACTTTAGGCTCAGCTTTGTTCCCTTGCCTTGGAGGAATGCTCTGCACATGAAGACCTTCACAACCAACAGCAAAGCAAATCAGATTGCGGAATTCAGTAACAGTTAAAATAATATTTAGCAAATCCTTAATGATTCTGTTCATTCTATGAAATACTCCATATAAAAGCCTCATAGAAAAGCAGAGGGTTTATGCAACACCTGGCATATCAACAACTGCTCCATGACAGCTCTTGGAAACACACCCTCTGTTTCAACACAACTCAGCGAGAAAGAACTGTATGGAAAAGCAGAGTTTGCTGCTGAACCTCAAGCAGAAACAAAGAAAGCAACTGCATTTCATGGTGGGCAGTGGATTGGTGTTTCTCAGTTCAGTTCCTGCCATTGTGACTCAGGCTTGGGCCACCTGGGGGGCACCTTCGCATCAGTGCATCACCCACCAGTTAAGATGCCGCCCAAGCCTTGCTGGTGCCAGCTGAGCACAGTGTGTGGCTGCTGCTGCCAAACCTTCTGCAAATGGAAGCTAAAGGCACCCGGTGAGGCGGAGCAATGAATGAGGGGCCTCGATGAGAGATGTGATGCCATATAAACTTCTATTGGAGTCTTATTTTAAAATACACCGACCCTGGTTTCACAGTGTGTGATCGGAAGGTATAAACGTAGCGTGAACCAAAAGAAGGTAGAGGGGAAATAAGACAGACATATAAAAGGAAACTGGTGATATTTGGAGCCTCGCAGGGCACAGACACATGCAGTGCACGGGGGGTAGATGGTGAGCTTTGTCAGCATTTCCTTCTGCCTATAAAAAAGGGGTGAATATTACGGTGTGATTCAGGAGCGGGCACTGCGGCTCTGCAGAATACCTCCCTCTGCTCAGCATTCAGCGCAGCAAAAGTCTGTCCTTAACCAAACGGCGGTCACCCACATCCAGCCGAGAGCAAAACGAGCAACAAGGGGCCTCCTTCATCAGGAATTCTCTCAGATACGGCGGCGGCCGTTAGCGGCGTGAGGAACAAGACTCCAGCCCCGCGTTCCCGTACAGCGGCCGCTTCGGGCAGGGCTGCGCGATTCGGGCTCCCAGCACCGCGCCTGCGGGGTTCTGCGCTGCTGCTGCGCGGTTCCTTCTCGGGGGGGAGCGGCGCGGCCTCTAGGGCCACATGCACGTGTGGGACGCGCGGAGCTGAGCCCAGCGCCCCGGGGCGGGCAGCGGCGCTCCGAGAGCCAAACCCCCGCGGGCGGGGCTCCTTTAACGGCCGCTTACCTCAGCCGGGCGGGACGACCCTCGGCAGGGCACCGTTGCGCTGCCGGCGGCCCCGGTAAACGCGGCTCCCGATCTCGGTGCTCCCGACGGCCTCCGATAAACCCGTTTTTACTTCGGGGTGTAACGCGACGGGGCTGCGCGCTCCTCGTGGTGCCGGTAAGGCGGGCACTTCCATAGCGATCCGCTGCTGCATGAGGGCTGCGTGAGGAGCTGCTGGGTTTCACTCAGGCGTTTGGGGCACGGCTTTGCTGGCAGCGAAGGAGAAGGATGTTTACCCAGTCAAAGTGGCAATTTCAGTTTATTGGAAGGCAGAGCGTTTATCTGAAGAAGCGCGGGGCTGCGATTGCTCATCCCGGCCCTTACGACTCACCTACAGACTTGGCTGCTGTCAGCGTGTCGGTGTGAAGCCGAGGTGCTGCAGCAAAACGTTTCCATCCGAAGAACTCGAGGATTTAAATGAAACGTTTGTATGAATCTGTAGGAAGTCCCGGCTCAGGTCAGTGGAAGAGAACCCGCGTCCTCAACAGCGGGAGCGCTGCGTCCTCCCATCTGCGCTGCGGACATCGGATCTGGCTCCGGATTCTCAGCAGGGTTTCCCTACGCTGCAGACCCGCTCCTTCTCTCCTCGCCGTTCATTGGTGTGTCCTTAACTCCATCTCCTTGGTGCTCTCACAGCTGTTGGCTGCCCCATCCGAATGTGTACCACAGCGGTCTGCCACTGCAGAGGGGAGAGAAATCCACCTGCAAAAGGTGAGGAAAGTGTCGGTGTTGGGCTCCAGGAAGCCCCAGACGTTTCCATCCTGTCTCTTACCCCTCCCTTCTTCTTCTTCATTTCTTTCTTCATCTCTGTTCCCCAAAGAAACAGATCTTGTTCTGCGTTTGTTCTGTTTGCTTAGAGTTGACAGAGCTAAAAGGCAGATGGGACGAAGGGTGGTGAACAGGCTGGGGTGACACCCATGTGAGGTGGCTGGTTGGTTTCAGCAGCGTCAGAAACCCCGGGTAGGCAGCAGCAGTGGGCAGACAGCAGGCTGGGCATGCAGGCAGCCTGAGCTGTGTGCCCTGGGCTACACCAGCACCTCTGCAGGCTGCCTGGCTGGCAGGAGCACATTGGGGAGCTCATGCTGCAAAAGAGGTGCAGGACTTCAGGGCTGTGACAGCTGCTGGAATGCAGCAAGTAAAAAAGGCATCTTGGGGAGAAATAGCATGTGTTCTTCTCCCTTGAGAAGAAAATGAAGAGGCTTGAGAATTGCAGCTTCTATATACTGATTGTTCAAACGTCCTTGGTGCGGCGTGTCCTTTCTGCTTCAGCTTCTGCTAAATTTTAGCTGTCACAAGGAGTTGAAGAAGTTTACTTTAAAATTGCAAGTGTGCAGTGCAGGAGGTGCAAAAGCAGAAATGAATGAGAAAAACCTTTGTCCTTTGCATGGGGGTGTACTGAGGGTCTGTTCTGGTTCTCTTTTGCAGCAAGGTTTTTGGTTCTGGGCTTGCAGAGCATCTTTGAGAGGGAAAGGAGGAAGTATGCCTCTCCTTGAAGCACCATGTCCAAGTGTCTGTGACTCTGAGCTGTGTGCCAGTCTGCAGGGAGAGCCAGTGTAACATCCAGCTGCTGCTTAGGATTGCATCTGGTGCCACAGCTCAGCAGTGTTAGCAAGGAGAGTTAATTAATCAATCAGAAAGGACTGATGAAGGAAGGATTTTGAATTTTCTGAAGTTCTGAAATGATTTCTTTCCCACTTTTTAGGAACTGGTAAATGGTGATCGTTTCTGTCTAGGGAGAAAAATGCAATTTGCATGGATTGTACCTGCCACAATTTGTTTGTTGATGTCCATCACAGCAGGTAAGATTTCATTTTTATGTATATAGCAATTAGCACTTAAAAGAAGCACTGGGTAATCAGTGTTTTCATTCAGACACACCAGCAAACATCTTTCTTATTAGAGAGAGCAAAATCTGATGCTCAGTTAGGTTTACTTTCCTTAAGAGCCCATTGGTGCACTGCTACCATTGAGTGTCTTCCCATTCTTCATGGCAACATTCATTAAACAGCAGTGAAAAAAGCAGTTTAGATGAGTAGATTTTGCCCTGGGGGCTTTTTGGTGTGATCACTGGGAGTTAGGCTTTGGTTTCTGATCTCCATTTAATCCAACCAGTGAAGACTGGACAGTAATACACTGTGAGTTACAACTCAGAGACAAGAATCCTTATCCTTACGTGATAAACTTGGCACGACTGTCTTCCCAGAGGTAGCATGTTTTATGAGATAAGCAATATATCCATTTGAAAGGTTTGTTTTCCCGTTCTGTTGCAGAAGCATGCAGTAAAGGAAATGTGTCTGCCAGCAAACTTCCCCACGGTGTTGCAGAAATATGTGAAAAAGGAAACATGACTGCTAACACTGCTGCTCACGTCCAGCCTGGAACCAACATTACCCTCTCATGCCAGCTAAAGCAACTGAAATACAGCGAGCAGTGCAAGATTGCTCTTTTCTTTAACAGTTCTGAACTGACTAGCAATTATGGCACTTCAGTAAGCAACACATTTCCAGTCAATACGTATGGCAAACACATGTTTACCTGCAAAAGAGATTGTGAATACAAGAAAAAACTCATTTGTGGAATTGATATAGAGTCTGGAAGTAAGGAGAGTTTCACTGTTCCTTGTTCTTTCGGGTGTTCTGGGGTGCCTCTGAAGCAGAGGTTCGGAGCTCAGAGGGGTGGCCTCTCCTAGAGAAGGTGCTGTGTTGTATTGCTTTGATATCTGAAATGCTGCTGGCTGGAGCCATGCAACACAACAGAGCCTTTCTCACCCTGAGTCCCAGCCCCCCATGGGGATGCAGGCACCTGGAGGGCTCTGTGTGATGTCTGTCTCGCTGCACCCGCTGTCTCTCACCTCTGACAAACCTCCCCTGCTGCTTTATATGTAATGGCAACACTTGCATGTCAGCAGCTTGCTGCTCTCAACGTTTTAAACGAAGAGACTGATCAGAATACCTGCTTAAGATCCTCCAGATCAGCCAAGAAATGTGTCATGTATCCAGGATGGGACGGATGGCAACCTTACCTGCACCTGGGACAAAGGAAGGTTTACACACATGAACACTACGTACGTGATACAGTAAGTAACACTGGAAGTGGGTTCTTTAAAGCCTGTAATTGCATCTTAGGGGGGTCTTTATGTTAGTTTTAGGTTGTTTGTTACAGGTTTACCCTTTATCAACTCACACAAGAGCTGCTTTCTGAATACAAGGCTGCCGTGATCACCAAAGACCTTTTCTGGTTACAGCTGTGTGTGCTGCACAGCAGTAGTTTAGTTACTTCTGGATTAAGCACACTAAGAGAATACACCAATTCATGGCTCCTTCATTGTACAAGGAAGTTTAATAGTAGAAGTAGCCTTAAATTGGCTGCTGTTTTCCCTTCGTGGATCTTCTCTACGTAGAGATGTTGTGATTAGCAATGCCAGCACCAGGAAACCTCAGTCCTGAGCCTCTCACTGTGTCTCACGGTTCAACGAAGGAGATGGAGAGAGAACTTTTCCAAACTGTGTTATTTTTGCTTCCTCTTAAGGAACCAACAGTGCTGTAGCTCTCTCTGGCTTTGCTGAGCTTTCCCTGAAATAGACTGCAGGCCTCTGCAGCAAGCCTTGAGCAAGGAACAGACAGATTTATCTGTCACAGTGTACAAAAGGGTATTAACCAAGGGCTTTCCTTCTGTTCTAGGCTATCAGATGGGACTGACACCTCGTGCTTTTTAGAAGAAAGTCTGAGTAACAAGTTTGGCTGGCTGGTCCTGAGTACAAAGTTGAATTTTGAATCTACTTACAGACTTGTGGTTGTCGCCTCCAACAAGCTAGGAAGTGCTTTTTCTCAGCCACTTAAGTTCATGCTAATAGACGTAGGTAAGTGCCTTGCTTACCTTCTTTCAGTCAGCACTGGCTGTTTAGAGAAAGTGCAAACTGAGCACTCTGTCTTTGCTGTTCAAATCTGTCAGAGGAAGTATCCATCCATCCATCCATCCATCCATCCATCCATCCATCCATCCATCCATCTCAATCACCCGTTCTATTTACCTTGCCCTCCTTTACTTGCTGTGATGCACATCTGAGTGCTGCTTCTTTGTTTTGTTTCTGTTTTTGCTGCCAGTGAAACCACATCCTCCAAACTTTTTAGTGGAATTTGAAAACTCTGCAACAAATTGCACCTTGTTCTGGCACAGTGAAGTCCGAGGGCAGCACTGCAGAGTGAGATACCGTCCAGTTAGCAGTTCCACCTGGAACACGGTAATCCTCTTCTGAAGAATAAATTAAACTATGATCCTTGGATGCTCCTTTATTATTGTTATTTCTCTCTCAGGTCTGCTCTGTAGCATCTTAATTAAGAAAAACTGTTGCCCGCTCCTCTAAGCCTCTATTGCTGGTCTGATACTGCAGGAATCAGATAAGACACCTGATAAGATAACTGATAATGAAGGTGCAACACTTAGCATGAAAAAAAGAAACACAAAACAACCTGCCATATGTCAAGTATAAAGCACAACAAATCAGAGCTTATTTTGGCACACCACTACTAAAACATGGCCATTTCTGCTCATTGTAGCTCAAGGCTTTGGGTGCACATTTTCCAAATGCTTGTGTCTTCTTTAATGCTGGTTGGAATCCTTAGCTTGTATTTTAAGTGCTAAAATGAAGGAACTGCTTGAAGTTGAGTAAAATGCATGAACATAGAACTCCTTATTAACTCCTATAATAATATATAGGAGTTAATATAAACTCCTGTTTCCCTGTGAGCTTAATGTTACATGTCCTTTATCTTCACTGAAGGTTGAAAATTTAGAGAGTGAAAAATGCAGCCTTCACGGTCTGGAGCCTCATACAGAGTATGAATTTCAAGTGAGCTGTAAAATTCATCCTGAGAGGGGACTGTGGAGTAACTGGAGTGCATTCCAATCCCAGACTCCAGAAGCAGGTAATATGATTTGTTATACCAAGCCTATGTAGCTAATGAATCCTAGAATGGCCTGGGTTGCAAAGGAGCACAACGCTCATCAGTTCCAACCCCTGCTGTGTGCAGGTCACCAACCAG